TTTTTTTTGTGTCTGTTACCACTTTTTCTCAGCTCTCACCGAACGGATTTCTTTCAACGATACGTCAAAAGATCACAAATCGTATCTAGTCGAAGACATTACCCTTCAAAATTGAAAAAATTTCCCTCGTTCCCCGTAAATGGGGGAAACCTCCAAAAAAATTACAAATTTAAAAATCGCTAATTTTCGAAATTTTTTCAATTTTTTTTACTAAAAACTGTCATAACTTTTTCAAAAATGAACATATGAATATAATTTTTTTTTATTTATAGATGCTTGATGTCTTTACCTATCATTTGGTATATTTTTTTTTTATATGTGACCCTTTACTTGCCCACAGGGGAGGATTTAAAATGACAACTTTTTCACAAAAAATTATTTTTTTTAACTTGATTTTTGAAAATGTTCCGGAAGNATTATTTTTTTTAACTTGATTTTTGAAAATGTTCCGGAAGGTCTGACACTTTTATATATATCTTAAATTAAAGCTAATGTAATATACTTTATCATGGGATAAAATTTCGGACTTTTGTCTTTACTATGAAAATAGTTACCAAATGCTACTTTTGTGTGAAAATTTTTGATTTTATATTTTATATTTTAATTTTATAATGCTATAACATATTGTAAAGTTTATGGATCAATACAATTTTTTTATGAGAAATAATATTTATATCCCTCGTTTATTCTACATATTTATCTTAATCAGGATATAAATAAGGAAATTGCAAATCATATAGCTTTTGGAATAATCCATCAATTTTTAAAATTAAATACTACCTAAAGATTTGCATCGAAGCGTTTTTTATGATGGTGATTTTAACCTCTGTCAGATATTATACTTGACCCAACTATGCCACGTCACCACTATGCCGCGACCCCATTGTGCTGGGTTTTTATTTTTCTTAACATTTGTTTAATTAAGTTGAGATATTATGAGTATTTCCCAAACTGATTATTTCATATCGAACGCGAATCTGTTTATTCTAGTAGCATAAAAGAAGATCCCGAGTCATTTATTCAATGGTATAAAGATAGTGTACGATCGGCTGATTTACCGTACTTGAAGAGTAATGTAGTTAAACATACAAGGAAAGACTAAGCTTTATAATAGGCCATCAGTGATGCTTTTCCAAAGAACCTCTTACTAGGGTATAAGATGATTTATAAGCGTATACCCTTAAATATTTATAGTACATAAGTATTCATTTTCTAAGGTATACATTAATTAAAAAAATTGTTTTTCGTGGATATACGCCGTACACTTCCCAATCTCTACTGTAACCATGGACAGCTGAAAACAATCCTTATACAAATAAAGCTGCACATAGTAAAATAGTAGTGTAATAAAGGAAGTGTCGGAAACTTTGAAAAATTGTACATAAAATTTAGGTGACATTAATTAAATATTTTATTAGTGAAATTTTATAATATCGATTACTCATTAAAATAAAAGTTCATACAAAAAATAAGTGATTTTTTTTACATTTTTAATCATCTTTGAACTGCCAACTGCAGAAAGGGGACAAGCACGCTTTTGGTCTATTTTCAGGATAAATGAATAACTGTTCAGAATATGTATGTCTTTTGTAATTTTAAATACTATACTCGATTTTTGGGTGATAGGATTTAACACTTTTTGAAAGTAAGTTATGCATTTACAATTTCTTTGTACAAATTGATAAAAATGGATTTATATAATTTCTACAGTTAGCGATTTATTTGGATATCAATGAAAAAAAACAATTTATATAGTTCGAACGATAATATTCTACTTTTTAATACTGATCAAAAATAAAATATTGGAAAAAAATATAAGTAGCCAAAAGCCTTTGCTACATTTTATATTTTTTTTCATCAATGAAAAAGTTTTATTCAATTTTTATTATTGGGTTTAAAATGACTAAATTATTTACATGTCATAATAATATCATTTAAACAAATAACAAGTTTTATAATTATTTAGAAATAATAAGATTTTTTTTTTTGCATAATTAACAGAATCTATTATCTTACCTTAATTATATACATATAAATATATATATATAAATATAAATTATGCTTGTTAATATTTATAGTTAATTAAGGTAAATAGATTTTTAACTTCTTACTTCTTAAAATTGTCTTTTCTTTTTTTCTTAAGTAAATGATTTATATATAAAAAAAAATTAATAGACATGCAATAAATTAGTGGTTCATGTTGTCCCTATATAAAAATTAAGTAATAATAAATTACAAAAAAAAATATACATCACATGAAAATTTATAAAAGTTAATTAATTTGTAAGAGGAACTGAATCTTATATACTAATTGTTAATTTGTATAATGTAATAAATAATATATTAAACAAAGTCTAACTCAAATGTTTTCATCTCTTCGGGTTTTTTCACCCAAGAACCAAATTTAGATAACTTGAAAACAGAAAATAATGTTTGCTTAACAGTTTCATAAGTTTCATTACATTTTTTTAACATATCATACGATACTTTATTATTATTATCTCTGGGTATCTTTGTATTTTTACTATATGTATTACAAATATCAATGTATTCTTTAGCAAAATTATATTTACAAAGCCTTGAAATTTTATTGTCAACTGTACGGCCAATATTTCCTTTAACTATTTCTATACCTTTGTCCTTAATCCAATTCACACAATATGGTGTAGGTGTATTATTCCTTCGGGGCAATATACTGTAACCACGTAGTTCAGGTTTATGTAATCTGTTAAAAAGTTTTTAATTTAATTTAAAATTTTAATTTTTAATTACGCAATAATGTAACTTAAAATTAAAAGTATTATACCAAAGTAGCCAATAGTAAAATATGACCAATTAAAATTCAACATATAACCCTTTCATTATATTCTCATACATTTACAGGTTTAGTATCAAAGTAATAAATAATCATACTTGAGTAGAATACTTTTTCGATAAGATTTTGGTATTTAAAACAAATATACATCACTCAAAATTTTAAAAGTATTGAAGATTATATAAATTGTATATTTTTTTAATTGTAATTTTTATATGATAGATATTGATTTATAAAATTTTCTCAGGGTATTCAGAAAAGTATTCTGCCTAAGTATGTAAATAAATATTTTTAAGCTATATAGTATAAATAAGAATAAATTATATTCTAAAAGATACGTTGCTAAATTATTAAATCATAACAAGATTAAAAATTAACATTTATTTTTGGTTTCCTATTTTGAAATATACTTACCTAAACTGATCTGGTAATTTTTCAATATTATTAGCAAGTCTACCATACATTGTTCGGATCATATGTTCTTCATTAAAAACACTGCCAACTGATATAGATTCCAAGTAAACAGGTTCAATGAAACTTGTTAATAGGCATCCTTGTAGTCCTAAAACATTCCATCTTGTTATTTTATCAGAACAAGACATTGTAATCAAACGTTCTCCTTGAGCAATTCCATCAAATGTTTGTACTTCCCGACCAAATACTGAAACTGTACCAGCACCATGTTCAATTTTAGATCGAAGAAGACCTCTATTTAAACGATTTGGATGACGTTCAGTATCAGAAAAACTAAATATTCTTGCTTCTCCACAAGGAGCTGTATTTATGTATAAATGAAAACTAATATCTTCTAATAATTTTAATTTTTTTGTTTTATTATTTAATACAAAAATTGATTTTTTTTTTTCAATAAAATCCCTAAGTTGACTGTAAAAATATAGTATGAGACATCTACGACTTAATATTTCTGCATGACAGTCATGCAATGATTCACCACCAAGACTTAAATTATCACCAGACATACATTTTGTTCCTGTTGCTAGACAAATAACCTCTGCAGATTCTAAGTTATTTCTGGTTAGCTGTAAAATTATAAGAACGGTAAAAAAAGATTTTATATAATTATAGTACAAGTTAAAAGAGTAAATCATGTAATTGAACAAATCTAAGCAGGATTTTCTTAAATAAAAAATTTTAATTTTTTCATCTCACCTTTATAATACTAGCAATAACACAATATTCTTTATATTTATGATCAACAAATGGTAAGTTTTGATAAATAATATCAGTTATGACAGCAAAATGATCAATGAATTTTGCTTGTTCATAATCAGTCTTCAATATTTCTATTTCTTCTTTATATTTTTTATCAATTGGTTGAGATGCAAATATAGCTTTTAGTGCATTACGGCTTGCTATTTCTTTAGCTTCTTTTTTATTCTGTCCATAACCTATAAACTTACAACCATGTATAGTAACACTCATAGTTTCTAATAACCCATGTGATAGTTCCTGCTCAAATACTAATTTTTCACCAGCATATAGCTCATGAAGAATTGATATAGCTGATTTTGGAACCATTTGAACTGATGCTGATGATTTTTTTATTGAAGGAATATTATATTCTTCATAAGGTTCATGCCATTTTCTTTTGTTGGTTGTTGAACTTGGATTATTTGAAATAATTATAAGATCAGAATTTATAATAGCATCTATTTTGGCTTTTTTTTTTGTTGGTCCTTTACCAACATACTTTATGTTATTAACAATCAACTCAACAATAAATATTGGCATATGGTCAGGTCCAGTCTGTTGAAAATCAGACCATTTACTACCCGAATATTTTTCATTAAAATCTCTAAGAATAAGATTATGATCAGCATCCATTGTATTATTTATTCAATTATTCAATTCAAATAAGAAAAACAAATTTCTTTTTAAAAAATGCTTTAAATGATTCTAAAACCATAAAAAAATTAATGAATTAATCCTTTTTTTATACAAAATTTATTAAATTTCGTAACTAGTATTAAACAAGTTTATTTAAATAATAATTGATAAAATATAGTATAAATAAAATACTGACACACGGAAATATCTAATGAATCAAAATAATATTTATATTAATATAAACTTAATATATAATTTTTGAACTAGAATTAAAAAAGAACACTATTTACCAAAATATGTATTTATATATTCATTTCACAATAGTACAAACGAAAGAGCAAATAATTATTTTAGATGATTAACTTTATTAAATTTGTCTTTAAATGATTCTTAAACGCTTGTTTACTAGTGTAATCCTTACCATATTTATTATCAATCAAAAAATTTGATAATAGGAAGTCACACAGTTGTATAAAGTTTATATAACCCATAAATCTTATAAGATCTATGATATAACCGAACTAAGTTGACCAAAAAACTGATAAGAAATTATCACAAAAATTAAGCAGATAGAAAATAAAGCCCTCCAAAAATATGAATCCAAACCTTCCGATTAAATTAAAAGAAAGTTCGACCAAATTCAGCCCATTACAATAATCCTAAAATTGATCCCATCTGACTCGAAACATCTTAAATATATCCGATCTAATTTAATCTGACATGAAATTTCAATATATAGTACGATACAACTAGATATATACTTTATATATAATTTTTTTTGTGTAATTTTATATTTATAATATTTAATTTAATTATAGGACTATGCAGTATTTTTTTTAATCTAACTGTATCCAAGAAAATACTTTACGAGTGGCCCGAACTCAAAACAATATCATTAGGAATTTAAAATAATCTAACTGAATCGGATTTTTGTATTGTTCAAATCAATTTAGCTTGATCCAATCCGTAAAAATTTACTAGTAGCTCGAAATTTATCTGACCTGATTTCATTATTGTTAAAATAGCCTAATAATCCAAACACTAAAAAAAATGAGGTTCCATTTAAACCAACGCGCGATTTTAGATCGAAATTTATTTATATCTATCCCCCTCAAGACAAAACCCTAATTTTATTTAAATTTTTTTTTATAATTTGTATTTTAAAAAGATGTTGTGAACCACTGTCTAACTGTTTTACTGTTTTTAATTGATAAAATAATAATAATACCTAAATAATAAAAATATTTGAAAAAATCTATTTTTAACAATTGATTAACTAATTTTATGGAATAAATGAAACAATGAACACTTTATATTAATATTGTAGTTATCACATTGTGGCAATGGTTTAGTAGTGTATTATGTATCTATTAAAGCCTTATTATTAATAATTACTGTATATAACTTTTATTATACGAAACCCGTATAATACGGGTTAGAATCTGTAATGACAACTAATTTAATAAATAGGGAGATAGTAAAAAGAGGTCCAAATAAAAAATAATAATTTTTAGAAAACAAAGAAATGAAATTTCCTGATTATTTATATCCCGATAAAAATAAAGTAAGTCGAATGAAAGAGGGATATAAATATTATTTCTCATAAAAAAATTGTAATGATTCATACTCTTTTCAATAATTTATTGCATATAAAATTAAAAAATGTAATATATAAAATCGAAAATTTTCACACAAAAATAACATTTAAGATATATATAAAAGTGTCAGACTATCCGGAACACTTTCAAAATTTAAGTTGAAAAAGTCAATTTTTTGTGAAAAAGTTGTCATTTTGAATCCCCCCCTGTAGGGAGGTAAAAAGTCAGATTTATAAAAAAAATATACCAAATGATAGGTAAAGACATCATGCATCTATAAAAAAAAGAATTATATTGATCCATACATCTTTCAAAAAGTTATAGCATTATAAAGTTAAAAATATAAAAAAGAATTTTTTTACAAAAATCGTATTTTTTTTATTAAGTTTAATGTCTGTTTTCACAATGAAGATAAAATAAAGTCCAAATTTTTTTTTTCATGATAAAGTATATTACATTAGCTTTAATTTAACATATATATAAAAGTGTCAGACTTTCCGGAACACTTTCAAAAGTTCAGTTGAAAAAGTAATTTTTTTGTGAAAAATTGTCATTTTGAATCCTCCCTATGGGTTTGTAAGGGTCAAATGTTCACAAAAATATATCAAAAGATAGGTAAATACCTAAGGTATCTATAAAAAAAAATTATATTCATTCGGTCATTTTTAAAAAAGTTATAGCAGTTTTAGGTAAAAAAAAAAATTTTAATTTGTTTTTTTTTTAGGGGATTTCCCCCGTTTACGGGGAACGAGGAAATTTTTAAAAATTTTAAAAGTAATGTCTTCGACTAGATACGATTTTTGATTTTTTGACGTATTATTCATCAAAATTGGTCCAGCGAGAGCTGCGATTGAGCGTTCACATACACGAAAAAAAAACACATCATAGTAAAATTAATACCTTCTCAGCTACGGATCGAAGCTAAAATTACCGTATCAATAACTTTGAATACAATCTAGTTAAATTTACGGAACATTCAAAATCAAACTTTAATAACTTTTACTACATTTAAGTTTAGAAGTATATAAATTAAGTACTAAATAAAAAATTAATATTTTCGCATCAAAGCTAAAACAAATTAAACTTTTGCAAAAGCTCGATTGCAATTTTAATTTTGTCAATAAATTTGTTGGTTATAATTGATAAAAATAAAAATAATACTGTCAGATGATTACAAATTCTGAAATCAATAATGAACCATTTATTTTTAATCAAAATATTAAAGAAAATTGTTTTAACCTAACACAGATCTTTAACAATAATAATTTTTGTTTGATACTATATGAGGGAGAAAAATTTTACTCTACCATTCTGTATTTTGACTGGGGGTAACTGTCCCCTCTGGTTCCGGCACTTTTGAGATAGACTAGAATAATTTAAACTAATTATCTTACATATTATAACTAAAAAAAATATTTTCTTCTTTTTCTTCGCCTTAATCCCAATTATTTGGGGTCGGCCACCCTTATCCTAAACTTCCACTTGTCACAATCTGAGCGTCGATGATGTGGACATTAGTCGTCCTCATAAAAAAAATATAGGGATTTAAAACATAGGGATCTCCCAATGTTAACTGAAATGAACAAATTTGTCTTAAATAATTGAATTCATAATAAAATCATTAATCATTTCTTAGGCCGGTAAACATAGAAATGCAGTCGGAATTTTTTTTTTCTAACACAGTGGACTGAATACATGCCTTTAGTCCGACTCTGGATATACACCTTTATAATAGAAAACTAATATTTTCATTTTGTCGTAATTTAAAAATTAATTTAGAAAAAGCATTTAGTTCACAAAAATAATGTTGTTAATTATTTGATCTTTATTGTAACAATCTTTCTTACTGTAAAATTTTCAAGTAGTACAATTAGTATTATTAGTAAAATGAATAGTACTCGCCTTTTGGAGCAATACTAATGGCAGGTTGTTACTTTCTTCCTGTTAGACAAAACTTTGGTTCATTTCATGTAAGTACACAAACGTTCGCAAGATTTTTAAATAAAGGGTACTGTAATATTGTTTTCTAAAATATTCACTACCTCTTGCATTACTACTACTTAATTTTTATTCATTAATACAACAAAAATGTTTTTATACAAATATTGAAAACTTATTAAGAAAAAAATTAAACAACTATTTATTGTGAATTTTAAAATAAAATTATTTACGACTCCTTTGTAATAAAATTCATGCACCCAGAGAAAAACCTCGATCTATATAATAAATTCATTGTTCAATTTGATAAATATATCATTACTATTGAATCTATGATATATTTATCAATATGATAATTTTTTTTCTTATCTTGAACAATAATTATTCATAAGAATAATTATTTTGTTCGTATTAATAAAACATTATCATAAACCCTTGATAAAATTTCTCTATCAAAATTGATTGAGGTTTTTCTTTGGGTGTACGTACCTACAGTCTCTTTAATATTAGTCAAAAATTTGCTTTAATTTAATAAAATTAAAAGAATAAAAAACAATGTCTTATTTAAACTAACCTGCGTTAAAAGAATTCAAATTAAATAAAATCAATTTTTCTGGCTTTTATTTTGGCAAACTTTTCAATAGTATCGTCATAATCTAAATTTTCATATGGATCACGTTCGATTGAAATAATTGCTAGATCAGAAAGACGATTTTGTGTCATAGATGTCCTTAAATAATTTTTTTATGATTTTTAACTTAGAGAAACTTTTCTCTGCGCTTGCAATAATATTCTCAATGCAATAGAAATATTTGGAAATGAGCCACATGTTGTTTCTATTAAATTAAGACATTCTATAGAAGTCATTTGTTTGTTCAAAATTCTACAAACAATTTTTAATTCATCAAAAAGTTCAATACCATTTATAAAATAATTTTCACCATCTTTCAATACAATTTCTAAATCTATACAATCTTTTCTTAACATTTCATCGTCAAATGTTTTTAAATTTTCAATATTATATAAAAATTCAAAATATTTTGAATGATGAGATAGTTGTTCAAAACGATCATTAATTGATACGATTGCTTGATCTATTACTGCTAGAAAATAATCTTCGTAAAATGTTTGCTCAGCTGAATTAAGACGTACATCTTTGCTTTCATAATGGACTGCCTAACTTTTTTTTTAATTCTAGATTGTTTAAAAACTGCTTGAATATCAAGGCCTTCACATAAATTTTGCGCAATTTTTTTTGACGACTCAAACCCTTCATTTCTAAAATTATGAAAAAAACCTTTAAAACCACTTAACAACTGTACAGCATAACTCAATTCCATATTTTTGCTCTAAAGACTCTTACTAACTTTAGTTATAGCAGATAACAGTTCGTACCAAATAACAACACTTAAAATAAAGTCATAACAAAATTCATAGTTTGGTAATGACGAGCTTTCACTTTTCATTTTAGAATTCTTTGTTGATTCACTAATTTCTATTAAAGCGTCATGTACTTAGCCTAATTGAAAACGGATAGGCTTAACCGTTCGACCCGAGATTCCCATCTAGTTTCTGACGTTGGTTTTAATGTAAAATCTGAAACGTATTTGAGAAGAATGGTCCATCTTTCAGTGGAGGCAGAAAAAATAGAATAAATTCTTTGAATTACCCCGAAAAATGTCATAGCAGCTGTTACGGATGATGCCATATCTCCGAGAAGTAAATTAAGGCTGTGAGAAGTGCACGGAACAAAAAAAGATCTTGGATTTTCAGAAAGGATTCTTGATTGCACTCCTTGATGATGACTTATCATATTCGCCCCATTGTCATACGCTTAGCCACAACAATTATTTAAGTCTATGTTCATTAATTTCAATTGTGCTTTTATTTCCTCTGTTAAATTCAAGCCAGTCTTATTTGTAGTATGAATGAAACATATAAAATATTCATTTATTTTATATTTAAAAAATTTCGAAATTTCTAAAACGCGTAATAAAAATGTAAGCTGCTCCTTGTGACCTTTATCAGAAGTTCCGTCCAATAAAATTGTGAAATATTTACTTTACTTGGTCTTACTCGATTTATTCACGTATTTTTGTGGCAATAATACTAATAAGTTTATTTTGTATCCTAGGATCTAAATAATGATCATTATTATATACACGTTTTAAATGATCAGCCATGATTAAATCAAATTTTGCAATCATTTGAAGTAAGCCTAAAAATTTACCATTATTAGCTTTATATAATTTAGAACTTGTGCCACGAAAAGCGTCATTACGCTCTGCTAAAAATTCTATACATACAGTAATTCGTTTAAGAATATTACACCAACGTTCTTTTTCAATATTTACATTTCTTTAAATATCATTATCTATAGTTGTATGAAAATTAAATCTCATACGTAGTTGTAGCCAATTTTTTTGAGCTATAATATGTGAAATAGATAATTCGTGTTCTTTTAAACATTCACTTATCTGTTTCCAATTAGAAAATCCTTCTGATGCCAATGATGAAGTCGAGTTTGAAGAAAATAAACGAAAATAGAGACAAAAAACTCGATTTAAAGATTTAGAATATAAAAGCCAATTTCTTACCATTTTTTCACATTATTCGATTATAATGTGTTATGCTAAATTTTCTACCTTCGTCGTTTGATGGAAAATTATAATTTTTGAAGGCGAGTTCTTTACTAAATAAACGCGTAATTTATCTGTAATATTTTGCCATTTACCTGGATCATCATTATCAATTATCCTGCTCTTTTTGAACATTTTTAAGTTTTCGCTTTTCAGCACCACTTTTAAATTTTTGATATTTATCACGTAATCGGCCACTCATTTTATTTTGGTTAATCGCGTATCTCGAGTGTATGTGCATATGCGTGTTGAGTGAAAAATGAACATGGGAAAATTAGTAAACCAATTGATCTATATAATCCATATAAATTATATAAATTTGATATAATATTTCCGCGTTTTCCTTTATAAAGTTTGAAATTGTATTTCAAACGTATTAATTCTGTTCAAATAGCAGGTTTTTCTAATTAATCATTCAATTAATTTGTTTTTTGATATATACAATTGTATTGTATGTATGTATCACACATATGATATACAAATTGAAAAAATATAATCAGAAGAACTAATTAATTTTAAATGAAATTAGTAATATTCTCCTTTTTTTTTAAAGTGCGAGCAGTGGCGGTGCGTTTACATCATCTGGCGCAAGTAGGAATATTTTCTCAATGATGAAAAAAATAAAAAAATAATAGTTAAACCTTTAGTGCATCACTGAACTATTAAGAGGTACTTTAACGCAACGGGGCTTTTAACCTTTTTACTAAAATTATTCATAAGATTAGCGGCGTAGGGCATACACTTATTAACTATAAAAATATTATACATGTCGATGCTGAAGGGGATCCGATACTATAAGCCCCCATTAATGCCGCCCACGTATTGACTGATCATTTATTTGCCTATTATAAGAAGGCTAAGTACTATAGCTCCCGACTATGGTTCTCACTTCTTTTCATCTGTTAATCACCTTAATTTTTTTTCTTACAGTCTATACAAGTGTATTCTTTGTATGTTTCTTGCCTTTTAGCTTAACTTCTCCTACTTAGTCCAAAAATTTACATTTGTTAAAATAATTAACACATTGTTTAGAAATAAATACGCTTAGCAATTTAAAAATAATTCTCTTCTTATTAACACACTTCTAATAATTAAAAAAAACGCTTCGAACAACTGCAAATCACCAGCTGAGACCCTATCATCACTATTTCAGTGAATATCAAGTAAGAGTAGTTTTAACATACCTACGACACTAATCAAGTAATAACTAGAAACCCAAGTACTTTTAATTATTTTAACTTTACGAATGATGCTATTATTTTTATATTAACAACACCCCGATCAACTTTATTTTTAGTTATTACAGTACTTAGAACCAGTTATATCTAATAATTAAGTAAAACACGGCTAATTAAAGGGATTTAGTTTTAACAGGACTTTTATTTTCTTCATTAAATGAAAAAACAGTTATGTCATAATAATCAATATTATATAATTTCATTTTGGCATAAAATGCCCAAATACAACTCGGCAAAACACATTTATTCAGAAGCAATGATAGCAACTACAATAGATATTCAGCACTTCCAAGTTATTCCAATAATTTGAAATTTTTTGTTTATTATTGAATTAAAATTTGTAAATAAATAACTTAAAAAAAAGTAGCACCATTGATCATGGTTTTAAATACAAAGTTTTATAATAGCTAAATCATTTTATTTGTCTAGCAACTAGGTTCCCTAATGAAGTCACATTATGTATATTTTTTTGGTCGCAAATTGTTAAACACACTTGTTATCGTTAAATATACAAGAATATTTAAGTTTTAGATACCCCCAGTAAAATTTATTATTTGCACGTAAATATTTTAGTATTTCATATTTTCATTTATAGAAATATATTTTAATACTATACTTACAAAACTTTCATTGATATTTAAATTATAATTTAATAAAAAATTATTAGCTTTCAAAGGTATTTTTAACAAAATATATTAAATAAAATTGATACTTAAATTTATGAACAAGCATAATTACAATATGATATAAATAATACTATAAATAAAGCAAAATATATAAATAAATTTCATCATGTTTCAAATTAGGATGTGACCTGAAAAAAAAATGTATTTTAGTAATATTTAAATACTTTGCAGCTTGGATTTTGAACCCTATGCACCGTGAGATTAAATATTATATTATTCTTTAATAAGTAAAAGATTAATTTAATTTAATAAGGTTTCTTATGATTAAATTTATTTTACAAAAATTATTAATTATTTTGTTTTTACTTGTATTCAATATTTTTACTTTTTTAGATTGATTCCAAAAAGTTTTAATATCTGATTTAAGTGTTTCTTATTTATTTAAGTCATTTAATTTATTTTTTAATTGAAATGGTTTACTAACATTTTTTTTATTCAAAGATAATCTATTGTAGAAAACGTTTTTTTGGCGTAAACTTTTACAATATACATCATAATATGTTTTCTCAGGATAGTCTTCAATACCACATAACCACAGTTCAGATATATCATAATAACACACAGATCTTATAATTTCAATTATTTTTACAGTTTCTATTGGACTTTCAAATTGTAATGCATAATATTTTGTGTAGCTATTATTATTCATGCCTCTCATATCTTGTCTGAATATTTGTTCTATAGAACTATAGTAATTTTTTGAGGGTTTTATTATGCACAATATTCTTTCATAAGCTATCTTATATTCAAATACATTTGTAATCTTTTGATGGTTCACATCATGTAATAACCTTAAAAAATAAAATTAAAACTTTATCTTAAGAGTTTTAGTATCAAATAATTAAAAGTTTTGAGTAACAATTCTAATTAATTAGATTAATTTAATTATTAATTAATCAAAACAAAAATGTTACAGAGATCTAAATAATAAGTACAGTGCTTTATAAATTACAAAAAAACAGGTAGCACAGTAGGATCGTAGCACAGTATAAACGTGAGTAACTTTTGTAAGATATTTTAATATAAAATAAAATACAAAATCAAGAATTTAAACACAAAAATAGCATATTTTGAATACGGTAATCATTTTCATTATAAAAACAAAACAAAATTTGAAATGATTTTTTTCCATACAAAATTACATTATATAAGCTTTAATTTTAGATATATATAAAAGTGTCAGTATTTCTGGAATACTTTTATAAGTTAAGTTGAAAAAATTGTCATGTGAATGAGGTGAAGGGTCAGATTTACAAAAATATATATCAAATAATAGGAACACATTTAATGTATCTATTTAAAAAATTTTTTAGTTCCATACGCCTTTCAAAAAGTTATGGCAGTTTTAAGTAAAAAAATTGAAAAAAAGTTAAAAATTACCGATTTTTTAATTTGTAATTTCTTTAGAGATTTTTCCCATTTACAGGGTACAAGGAAAATTTTTTCAATTTTTAAGGATGTCTTCAACTAAATACAATTTGTGATTTTTTGACATATTGTTCATTATAATCGGTTCAGCGAGAGCTGAAATTGAGCGTTCACAGACACAAAAAAAAACACATCATAGTAAAATTAATATCTTTTCAGCTTCGCATCGAAGCTAAAATTGTTTTAGTGGTAGTACTTTAATCCTGGCAGACGAATAAATAAAAATATATATAACCTCGATTTTACTGAAGATATTTTACAAAATTAATTTTATATTGTTATAATGAAGACAGATTTTATTTTGAATATTGTTAGCTTTGACACGTAGCTGAGAAGGTATTAATTGTACTATGATGTGATTTTTTTTGTGTGTCTGTTGCCACTTTTTCTCAGTTCTCTCAAGACTGATATCTTTTAACAATATGTCAAAATATCACAATTTGTATCTAGTTGAAGACATTACCCTTAAAAATTGAAAAAATTTCCCTCGTTCCTTGTAAATCCCCAGAAACATTACAATATTAAAAATATGTAAATTTTGACATTTTTTTTCTTAAAACTGCTATCACTTTTTGAAAAATGAACATACATTTTTTTTATATTGAAACCTTAACTAATTCCCTTTTATTTGATATATTTTTGGAAATCTGATCCTTTATTTACACACACAAGGAAATTCAAAATACCAACTTTTTCACAAAAGTCAATTTTTTCAACTTAAATTATGAAAATGTTCTGGAAATACTGCGTCCTCTAAAGCTTATGTTACATAATATAAATAAAAAAAAAAATTTTGTCCCGACGACTTATCTTCTACGTGAAAATGACTGCCATATTTAAAAAACATGCTATTTTTGTGTTCAAATGTTTTATTTTTTGTTTATTTTAAAATACCTTATAAGGGTTAGCCACAGTAATGAGTCCATCAATAAATATAAAATTTACATGAATCTAAATTACATTAAATAAAAAGTTATACATATTTTTTATTATTTTGCCTCTTCAAAGTTAAGAAAAGTTTTTTTGAATTTTTGAAAATGTTCCTGGAAATCTGAGTCTATTAAATATAAGTTAAAATAAAACTCATTTTATGTACTAGAAGTTCAAAAAAAAAAAATTTTTACCGACGACTTATTTTCTATGTGCAAATGGCAGTCGAAGTATAACAAAAAATAGGAGTTATTTATTTATTTATTTTGGAGTAATTCACCAATTTCTTAAAATTTAACACTAAAATCTACAAATCTACAGATTTGCATTGAAACGTTCCTTATGATAGTGATAATAATCACTGTCAGATATAATCTATAATTGTCCCAACAATGTCATGTTTATACTGTGCCACGACCCCACTGTCCTACCATTTTTTTTTATATATATTCAAAAGAGGTTATCTTAAAAATAATAGTTAAAAATACTCAGCATAAATTAAATTAAAATTATACTCTTACTGTTCTTTAAATGAATATTTGGCATTTATTTTATTAGAAATACTATCAAGTTTACATTGTTTTAAATTCTGTCTATTTATTATTAATATAATGTCTGTATTATTTTCCATTTCCCATAAATTTTTTTTTGTTGTATAAATATTTAACGCTTTTGATGAAATTTTATTATCTGTAATCTAGCAAATATATTATAAAATAAATACAAACTTCATTACTTATAACTATTAAATTTAAAACTTTTAACCTTAGATAAAGAGGGTGCACACACTGTAATGTGAATACCACTACCATAAAATAATTTTTTAATAAAATTTTGTACTTCAAACCAATCTAGTCCATCTAAGCCGCAACCAATTTTTGGTATGGCTAATTTTGTTAAATTATTTTTTTTCATCTTGTTAAGTAACTCAACCAATGTATTTTTCAACGCATCAAATGTAGGTTTTCGATTACTATATTTTTTTGTTACTAAATAGAATATATATTGATTTTTGTGGTTTAGAACACCTACATCACCCACTTTTAAATGTTGATCAAATAATTTGCCAAGACAACCAAAAGTGCGCCTATAATTTTTTTTATTATTAATAAAAGTAATAAAAATTTTAGTATACAATCATACTTAAACTCAAGTGCGATTCCAGCTCCCATTCGTAAATCCTCAGCAACACAATGTGCAAAAGCATATTCTTTACCCATTTTAAATAAATTTTCATCCAACTCTTCATATTCTAAACTGATTTTAGTTAAATTAAAAATTAATATTAAAGTTTAAATATTATACCACTTTAACTTTTGTATAAAGGTCATCAATTTTAACTAAAAATACTTAACAAAAAATTTGATTTCAAAAATGAAACTGTTAACAGGCTTATTCATATAATAAGCTATGCCAATAAAGGATTCCAAAACATATGTTTTATGTTTTTTGAAAATGAATAAGAAAACAGTAGTTAAAAGAGAAATTTATTATTAAAATGATGAGTTACTTATTATTAGTTAACATGTATTGTTCTTCTAAATCACTAATGTTTGAGTTATTGTCACTTTGATTTAATTTTATAGAACTATTTGATTTATTTCTTTTTTTCTTTTTTTTTTCTGATTTAACTAGAAACCTAAAGCAATAAAAAAAATGTATATTAGAGAACAATAAAATTATTTAAATTTTGTATTCAATTATTACTTATTTTTATTTAAAGTATTCAAAATATCCTCTTCTTGTTTGAGGCATTTAGAATTTTTCTTTTCCTTTGAATTTTCTTGATTACTAAACCAATAAAAAAAAAAAAAAGACCAATACTAACAAAAATGCTTTATTTAATTTTATATGCATATATTACTCATTTTTATTAGAAAGATCATTGACAGTATTCGAAATATCTTGTTCAAGGCATTTAGAATTCTTCGATTTTTTCTTTATACTAGATTTTTTAAATTTTAATTTTATTACAGGATCTTAATAAAATTCAAATATAACAATAAAAATATTATATTACTTGTTTTTAGTCGAATTATTTTTATTTATTGTTGTTAAAACAGAAGCTTCTTCAGTATTAAATTTTGATTGATTTTTATCTATTTTGGTATCTTTATCAGAGTTTTTTTGAAGACTATGAAATACTTTTAATTAAAAAAATAACAATTAATAGAAATTAGATAATTTAGTATTACTTGTCTTTAGTTGGCAAATTATCACATAAAGTAGTGGAACTGTTCTCATTTTCTAAATTATTACACTTTCTTTCTTTCTTCTTTGTCAAGTTTACTTCAAGACTAGTTAATATACAATGTTTGATTATTAACTATTAGTACCATATCAAAATTTAAAAAAAAGTTATAATACACATTTTAAACTGTAAGATAACCATTGTTCAATTAAAACTATCATCAATATAAATAAATGTGTTTATAAGTTTACCTTAATACTATTAAGATAAATAAAAAGTTGACACATAATAAAATGTTAAGCTGATCATAAGTTTAAAAAAAATTTATCATATTTTTTACTAATATATATATTTATAAATGTATACATAGTCTTCTTTTTCTACGCCTTAATCCCAAATACTTGGATTCGGCCAATATGTATACATATAATGTATGTAGGTATATAGAAGATACATAGAAAAGTAATTTATATAAAATTTAAGATTTACTGAAAGGATATTAAACTATCTGAAGAACAGTTATTAACCGATGTATGAACTTTGAACAAATTAATGTAAGATTATATGTTATTCTGGCTAAAAAAAAGAATTAAGATAAAAATTGAATTTATAAGATAGTCATTAAAAATATTTTTTCTTAAATCACAGAAATTAACTGAAAACTTTTAACTGCAATTGAGCTTTCATTGATAATAGTATTTTTTTTTAAATAAGCCATAACAATATAACAATAAATTACTTTACTAACATTGAATCCATATTTGTTGAGTCCACTTTTATAAACTTCTGTCTAAAAAATACATATTTATTCTGATTAGATCATGAATAAATATATTACAAATATTTAAGTATATTACTATTAACTTGGGAATTGAAACTTATAAACGTGAAATTTTTAAACCACCGTTCCCTTTTATTATTTTTTTTTTATTATAAAAATCAGTTACTATTAAAAATGATTTTTGAGACTAAAATTGACATAACACTTTAGGAAAATAACTATGAATTTAATTTTAAACAATCACTGTATAAAATAAAAAATTTTCATACATATCTAAATATCATATTAAGAACTTATTATGTCAAGTTAATTAGAAAGGGTTATATTAACCATTAAGTACTATAGGCATAACACCTGGAGTTTATAAGAAATTGTGGGGCTACAAATTTGTGCTTAAACAATTTTTTTTTACCAATTACACCTTTGTTAAGATATAATTTTCAGTGTAAAATGTGCCATAGCTTGAATTTATAGGGAATCAAGAAAGAAAACTTATGAACATTTTCTTTTAATTGGTGTCTAAAACCTATTAATATTTGGTACAACCCTGTTATGAGAGAAAATAACTTAAACTTTTAAGTTACCGATTGTCAATGATGACTGGAATTTTTAACATGACTCTTGTAAGTCATTTACTTTCCTACAATTATTTACTTAGGAGTTAGGACTAAAGGACAAGAGAAAAATTTTAAACACATAATAGAGTTGATATTACTAGTACTAAATTACTTGATTTTAAATTGAGGTATACTAGAACTAAGTGTAAAGAAAATATTAACATTTCGAATGAAAAGAAGTAGATATTAAACAAGTTTTCAAAAATATTTTGTACCTAAGTATATAAAATTCACTGTCACATCTATTCCCTGTAGTCTTAGCAAACACTAAAAATAGTCAATAAAACGATTTGATATATAGATTATCAAAAGAATATAAATAATATATATGAAAGACGAATATAACTAACTTTATAAATGTATTACTGCTATTTTATAATGCTAAAGAAAAATTACGTTAAATAATTTTGAAATAAAATTAATTAAATCCTTATTTAATTAAGATTCAATACCTTTTATTCCTTGATTTACCCATTTTTTAAATTAACTTAAATTATTGTTAAAAAGTTTTATGAATAATTGTAGCTGTTTTCTAGTGTAAAACTGTCGTAATGTTCATGTTATATTATTACTATTGACAATGACTTATCTTTTATTTATTTTATCTAAATTACATTGTTGATCACATAGAAAGGCTAACAACCATGAGGTATTGGTTTGTATGGCAGTATGACGTTTAAATTCTAAATAATTGTTGTTCAGTGTTCAAACATTAAAGAATAACACTGTCGTCAAAACGTTTTCACGTAATGTAGTTGTTGAAATAAAAATTAATTACTACAATATTTTTGTAATATTAGTGACACTGATTAAAATATAAACAGTGTCACAAAATAAATATGATATTGTGTATAAATAAGAAATTGAAGTTTTAAAGATTTGTATCAATGATAATGAAACGTAGTGTATTATTTTTAAAACAATAGAATTTAAAATTTTAAAAATAGTTAACAAATAATAAGACAATATTATTTATCGATTAGTGTCATACAATGAATAATTAGAACAGAATTTGAAAAATTATTGTATCAAAATATTGTGTTGTGTCAATAGCCTGGGAGTAAATCAATTAAAAGCAGAAAACTCTAAATGAAGGTTCAAGTATAACAACCTGGTATGCCAACTTCTAAAAATGTAAAAAGGAGCAGTTTACAGAAATATTCTCCCTAAACAGCAATTTTAAAATTATTTTTCTTAGTTAAATATTCATTCAAGCAATCTATGTATAGAATTCATTTTTATATTGAAATATTCAGAATATTAATATTTATTCAAAACTAACAAAAATAATTTTCCAAAAATTTGGACATACCCAGTTGTTTTACTGGACCCTTCAATTACATTAATATTATAGTATTCAGTAAGGAAACGGGTTTCGATTGTTTTTATTATTGACCCATTTCCTAACTTTTTAAACACGTATAATAAAAAAAAGTTTTAGCGGGAGTAATGCAATTAGTTTTATTAAGCAGGTTGTGAACTCAACAATTATCACAAGCTTATTTAAATTAATGAATTTATTTTGATTATTGCCGTTATTAATTATCGTTTGTCGGTCATACAAATACGATAAAATTATCTATAATTTTAAAATTTATTTTACTATCATTCTATATTGTATATTTGGTGTATAATCTAAGATAACATTCATAGTAATGAGCACTACTGAGATATTCGATCAATAGTCTTAAATTATCTACAGAAATTATTTTTTTTCGATAATATTTAGTCATCAAACAATCGACACCGACTGTCGAACTGTTACTATGAGTTATATGATTATTAACTATACAACCTATTATGCGACTTAAATTAGCTATATGACACAATAAATATTGTATTTAATGAAAGTTTGCATGACTAAATACTTTTGATTATGGAACTACCAGTAAAATATACCGTAGTTTTTATTCGAATGTATGAAAACTACCGAATATTTTATCCGATAGTTCGATAGTCTAAAACAATTCAGTGGATAATTACAATCAAATTATTATTTGATTGTTATTTAAAAACTGTAGGATATACTTGGTAGTCAAGAGTATTCAATAGTGCCTATTTCTTAATACTCACTAGGTAAAATTTTGTTGATAATTTTGTATACTAAGTAAATTATATTATTATATAATTATATATGTATATTAAGTAATGTTTTTTAACGATTAACTCAGTTGAATCTAGATTAATCTTATATTAGAAATTTAAGATAACCTAAGTGGTCACACTGAATAAATTAAAATCATTTTAATCGTTTGTAATCAGTGTTCGGCGAATGTTGATGGCGTCAATGTAAGGCGGCTCCGTCCTTGAGACTGTATGTACTTACCGCGTAGTTGAGGAATTGATTGTTCTGCTGTTATACTTTTTGCTCTTGTCTATCTACTTGAAAATTATTTAACTTTTGTGAAACGACTTAAACTTAGTGCAATATTTCGTTATAACATAAACAATTGTTAATTTTCATTGAAAATTATCTGATTTAATCTTATATTTTACACTTATACTCAGTGCTTATGTTTTGTTTTAACTTTAAAAGTTAATAAAAAAATTAATTTATTTCTCAATAACCAACTTAATAAAATTAAAACTTAATTATTTGTCTTAAAAAGTAACTATTTAGTATTAATTACTTTAATACAGGTTAGTAAATGTCTTTAAATTAATATAAAGCTTCAAATAAGGAATGAGAATAGATCAAGAAATAGTACGACTATTAATAAAAAAATTTATCGTAATAAATAACAAATTGTGTACAATATAATTTTTTTAAGGAAGGAATGGATTTTTATATCTAAAGAGTAATTCTAAGTTCTTGTGTTGATAATTTTTTCATTGATACCGTTTTTGATTGTTATAGAAATAATGTCTTCAAGATACAGGGATTCTGGTAATCCTGATTGTAAAATATATGTGGGTGACTTGGGATCTTCAGCATCAAAACAAGATTTAGAGGATGCATTTTCTTATTATGGCCCAATTCATAATGTTTGGGTCGCGCGTAACCCACCTGGATTTGCCTTTGTTGAGTTTGAAGATCCTAGAGATGCTGAAGATGCTGTTAGAGGATTAGATGGAAGGTAATCATCTAATGATATCATTAAATATTTTCGAAAAATATTCTATTCAAATTTTAGAAATAATAAATATTATGCTACAGTAATTGAGCATTATAGTAATACAAAACTTTTTAAGTCATTACTTAAAAATAAATAAATCATTTTCTGTCCTGTAGTAGCAGAATTTGTTTTCAAATAAAAATTTGTTTAGTTTTTTAATGTCAGCTAAAATTAGCTCTTTTAATAAGGATTGATGATAAATACCACTCATTAATTAATATTATTAAGTTATTGATAAAAAAATTATAATAAATTTTAAATATATCTAGGAGTATTTGTGGCAGAAGAGTTCGAGTAGAACTGTCAAATGCTAGCTCACGTAAAGGTTCTCAACGTGGAGGACCCCAACGTAGAGGACGTCCATTCCATCCTGAAGATAAATGTTATGAATGTGGTGATCGTGGGCATTACGCTCGTGATTGTCGTAGATTTAAAGGAGGACGGCGCAGGTAATTATTTCTTTGTATACAATCATATAGCTATAATTTTTAATTAATTATTTTAATATTTATAATCCATAAAATTGTGTAGTATCTTAACACAATGTTAATAATTCTCAGTAATAAAAAATTACTATATTTAACAATTTTTGTAGGATGTTCGGCTGAGAGCGTCTTGTCTCGTAAGTGTCGATCGTCTAGAGCTCTCAACCAAAATAAAATTAATTGATCTTCTACAAACATTTTGTGTTAGTCGTCGGACAATGGTGCACATATCTATCTGTCTGCGTTTTTCGATGTACTGAGCTACTTGAACCCCATCAGCCCAACTATTGATTTTTAATCTGATGCTCATTAGATATCGTTGAACGTACACAGATGTCCTAGAAACTGTAAGAATTTTTTATAATATCTGCATAATGACAATGGTTATCTACATAGAATGATAATTTTAAGAAAATGTTCAACTTCATTTTTTTATGTGAGTTAAAACTTAAAAACAAATGCAGGTTATAAATTTTTATGTAAAAACTAATGCTTGTTTTTTCTCTAAAAGTTGCTTATAAAAATTTAAATATTATACCCTAAGTATAAGGAATAAAGAATAAGACACTATTTTTTTCAAAAACTATGATGTTATGTAGTTAAATAATTTTTTTCATCTCTACAGCAATTAAAAACCTTAAACTTAATTTTTTTTTAATGGGAACTGCGCTATCTTTAAATTGATTATGTGATAGAAAAAAAATTACAAACAATTTTGTTCTTGCATTTTTTTATCTGTTCTTCTGATACAGCATTTTAATACATACAGTAGGTATGTAACTTAGGTGGAGTATACCTGTATATATCAGCACGAGCTATACTCATACTACTATTTTTGTAATGAAAAAATTAACCCTTATTTATGTGACTTCTAAACTATTTGAAGTAATTACAAATTTCATCAAATTTTCTGAATGGTATGTTGTAATACACATTAAAACTGATTGCTCTTAAATATTGTGCTGGTATTTTTAACATTACTTTGACAATGTGATATTAATTTTATTTGAATAGCGCTAATTAATTTAAAAAATTATTATCATGGTTTCTAAATGTAAGCATCATTCATTTAAATTTTATATATTCTGTGAATCTAAGGTATATTTAGAAGTGTAAGAGCTCTGGCCATTGTTGGATAAAAAATGCTTCAAAAATTATTTTTCTACTTGGTTGTTAGTGTTGTTTTCTTTTTTAATAATGAGAAAAAAAATCAACTTATGTAAAAATTTTCTTTCTAGTGAATTTTCACTCCTTAAATCTGAATCTCCTGTAAGTGCTTCTCTTATTGTTTAGTATTTACAAAAAATTTTTGAAATTAAATTTTTTTACTGTTCATGATTTCATATAACATTTACTTTATAGCTGAAATTAATTACTAGAGTTTATTTTATGTAATTAAATATTGCATAAGTATTAAAGATTAGATAAATTATTTAATATATATTCAAATTTGAAGATGTATTGTTATATTTGTATGATTCGTTTAATTAATTAATTATTATTATATATTTAGCATTATTATTTTCTTCTATGTATATAGTATTCATCAAATAGTAGGATAGATAGCTGTTATACAAAATAAACTGGGAATTATTTGTCATAAAAATATCTAACTATATAGTGCAATATAAAGTAAAGTTGTCCTAAATATTTAACAAGTGACATTTTACTGGTAGAATTAAGAATTAAATTTCATAAAGTATTAATAATTTTTGATTAACTAAATATTTTGTGTTCCTTTTTTTTAAAAAATAATTAAACTTATATATTTTATTATTTGTTTTTAATAATATTTATAATAATAAATATTTATTTATTTTTTTGTAATTTCAAAATAGCTGTTTTCAGAGCTTTCCGTACAAAAAAATTTTAATTGCTCGATATAACTTAAAAATAAGTATTACTGAGTTACAAGCATTTTTATACATAGAGTAGTTATATAACACAGGTGGAGTATGTGTTATAAATATAAATCGGTAATAAGCTGTACTCTACCGTGCTACACACCCACTTTTCATATTAAAATGCTTGCAGTTCAATAAATATTTGTCTTAAATTTTTGTCAAACAAAGAAATTAAGAAAAATTGGCTATTTCAAAATTTTTGATAAAATCATATATTTGTTTTATTAATGATAAACATTAAAAATTATAATTTTAATGTAGTCCAAGAATGTAACAATTAAAAAAAAAAAATTTCAACAAAATGTTTATTAGATCATATGTTGTAGGTGTTGTTAGTTAGTCTGAGACACTATTATATATATAATGATTACATAATGTAACATAACCTAACCTTTATTAATTATAAATATTTTCTAAGGTCCTATACACCATCGCGTTCAAGATCACGTTCTCGCTCATATAGTCGAAGTCGAAATTCTCGATCAGCTTCAAAATCAGTATCACACTCACGTTCACATTCTAGATCAACAGTATCCAAACGTTCCAGATCTAGATCTCGAAGCCGATAAACTTTTGTGAGTACTAAGATTGATAAAACCAAAATTGATAAATATGTGTTGACATACTTATGATTAAATTTTTAAACTTAAATTACATTTTGTCCCTTCTTAAATCATAAATCTGTCTGAAATACTAATAAAAATTGACTAACATACAATGATATAAGTTAAAATAATCCCTTAAAGCAGAGATTAAATAATTAATTTCAAATTAAATATTAAGTAAAAATATTTTAAATTTTTAGTTAGGATTGCATCAAATCTACTAATTAAGACACCAATATGTTTTGGACTATATTCACGCTGATCAAATACATTAAACTTAACTGAGAAATATCTATTATTAAAGTTATTAACCTAGTTTCTCCTTTTATGAAATAATTTTTTTTTTTATTTACTTTCATTGTAAAAATAAATTTTATTTTAAATTGTAAAATGTTCAATACTTATATAATTATTATTAGGTATTGAAAACATTTTTAACTATGTTATGTTCTAAAATGGTATAATTTAAAACGTTTCTGTTGGAACAATATAGAAACATAAATGAATAAAGTTTTTGTTTTATGTTTCTACTATTTTTGTGTTCCGAAACGTTTTCTATAATATTGTTCCAGAACAATATAATATAAAAACTTTTTTTAAGTAATATAGGATGGATACAAATATATTCAAAATGTTGTCTAAACTGTATGAAAAAAGGCTCCAGGTAGAAATTTTTCTATACTTAAGTCATCCACGATACTATTTTGAAGGGTACCTGAGAGAGCACTCTTACCCTCACTAGAAAAATATTTGTATATAATTAGTAGACTCAGTGGAAAGTGCTATTTCAAAAAAAATTATTCCTTATAATAATATGAAAACAAAATAAAATTGGTTAGATCTATTGTGTTTCTTTAAAAAACAGAACAGGTTATATAGTTTCAACATACTTTTTTGGAATGGAAACTAAATGTTTTTTTATGTTCCATTCCTTTAAAAAGTAGAATGTATTATAAGGTCTCTAAATAATAATGTTTCATTTTGTGTTCAACAATTAATATGTTCCAACTTATTATTCGGAACAGGAACTAAATGATTTTATTTGTTCTGTTCCACTCCTAGATGGAACGATAAAACATTTTGGAACTTAAAAATTATCTACAACCCCTGATTATTATCTAATTTTTTTTAATGTAATAAAATTACAATCATCAATTTATATGGTTCTTAAATTTATTTATTTTCTAGAAATAGTCTTACTTAAGTACATAATTTGGCAGCCAACTTTATATTTATATTTTAACTTCTATTTTAATTTATTTCTAGTAATTAATAATATTATTATACTTTACTTTGTATTAACTAAATTATTGTAAAAATTTGATTGTGTTATAGTTTTAATTTTATGTAATTATTATATATAACAAGTATTTGGCCGTCAAATCCAAAACAAAAAATTTGAACTTATTGTCAAAGTATTATTTCCTAATAATTTTAGTATTGATTGTATTAGTTTACTAAATAATTAGATTAAAAGTACAAAATTGTATTATAATTTAATAAATTTTCATTAGTATATAAAATGCATAATTTATTTTAATTTCTTACAACTTTTTTTTATCCTTACTTGATAATTTTAAACATGAATTGAGTAATATTTCTTTTTTCTTAATTAGCAATAATAATGAAGTGTTATTATATCCTTGTCATCTAAAATGAGGTTTAACTTCCACAACTGTATAAACCTAAAGCTCCTTTTATTTAAGTAGAACCTTTTACTAAACAATTTCTTCTTAGTATTGCTTTTACAAGATTATTTTTAGGGAAATAATGTTTTATTATGGTCTTTTGTAAATTTCATTAGAAATTATGGTTGATATTGTAATATCTAATATTTTATAATAAAATGTTTAATTGTACAAAATTGAAGTATCATAGGAAATAAAAAATGTTTTTTTATGTTTATGCCTTATGTTTTATTGGGGTGGTGTCAACTTTATTTCTTTTAGTAGAAACTTACATATTTAACTAACTTATAAAATAGAAAATGATGTAATTAAGAAAATGACTGGTCAATAACAACTTTTGGTCCAGTATCTCAAAAGTAATTAACATTTTTATACTAAGGGGGAAGAATATTGAGGCCAAAAAATGTATAATGATAAAAATAGCAGCACCCACTTCTCAATTCCAGTTCTTGCAAGTTATTAATAACTTCTTAAATACTGGTCCAAAAGTTGTTATTGACCAGTCTTTTTCTTAATTATTTAATTTTTTATTTTATAAGTTAGTTAAATATGTATGTTTGTCTAACTATAGCAAAGGCCCAAAATTGAGTTATCTAACAGTACTAAGATGTAGATAATAGCATTTATAACAAAAAAAATATATAAATAAAATAAGTCTTACTGTATTAACATAATTTTTAACATAGTATTATTTACTTAATTTATTTGAAATTTCTGGTTTTCAACATAAAATAAAAAATTATAAGTTTCTGAAAGTTAATTATAAATATTTATACAATATTTATTTTGGTAAACTTTCAAAAAAATCATTTTAATTTGGCATCAAAATACAAATTAGTTAAAAACTTTAAAAGATGTTAAATTCTTAACAGCTCATTTAATAGTGTTCCAAGTTTATGTCAACATTTTTTTTAACATTAATTAACGAATAATAGGTCATAAAAACAAAATAAAAATTTATTATTTTTAACAAAGGGCCATTATTTACTTGATTGTAACTCTACAAGATTAGGGAAATAGTAGTTCTAAATATAATTTAATATTTACGGGATGCTGATTTTAGAAAAAAAAAACATTTTGGTGAATTGATTAAATATTTATAGTAATTGTTTAATGTTTTGTTTTGTCTTATTACAATGGGTTATGACATCATAAAAATAATGAGCGCAATTTAAGTAATAATGTTTATTTTTTCGCCAGATGATCACTTTTCTATTATACGTAACAAACTTTAATGGATATTTTAATTGTATAAAATTAACCTTGAACGCTAAAAAAAATTTAAATACGCACTAATAATCGATTCAAAGTTGAACATATTTCTTTTTTGTTTCAATAGAAATTTAATAATCATCAAATCGAAGTGTAATAATTTTATGGAATACACTAACTGACAAATAATGATTAGCAATTGAAAGCAGTTGTACAAATAGAAGTTAAGGCATAAGCTTATTTTTAGGGCGAATTGATGATTACAACATCAATTAATCTCTTAGTTGAATTGTCATAGCTTAGACAATGCAGTTTTACGCGATCTTTGTTATAACAGTGATAAAATTACAAGTTTTAGTAAGTTTAAATACTAACTGAATTAAATTCATGCAATGAGTTATATAATAATTTTAATTGATTATTTATCAATAGGTTCATACAGCATCATTTGAGGAAGAAAATGGCATTGAAAATTTAGTAAGTTAATGGAAATGTAAATAAAAAAGTTTTTTTTTTTTCAGAATTTGTATTAATTGTTAAACACACTTAAAGTATAATTAGGGTGTATTATGAATCGTGGTGTTTGAATTTCAAAGCCTAGAGCTTTATCAAATATAGAGTGCGTTTTTAGCGTATGTGCTATAACATTATGTTTCATATTAGTAACTGTAAATAATTAAGTAATTTTTATAGTTTGAATATAAATCTATAAAAAAAGATAAATCTTGCTTAAACTTTTAATTTTTCAAAATAAATTCTTATTGAATAGTTAATGTTACTTTTAAATATTTACTGGTTAAATTTAATGCTTTGATTATATGTTTAATCTTTTAAGCTTTTATACGAGACAACTGTCTCCTTGCTTCTGATGTTAGTCGCCCCAGAATCTACACATAGAAACTATTACAGAAGTGCATATAACATGTGCATTCCCAGATCGTCCTTTTTTTTATGGTTTAATGCCCTGCGTTTATAATTTGTTTAAGATCCCACAAATCTTAGCGTTGACATTGGTATTTTCGCTTAATTTAATATATCTATTATCTAACGAACACTGTGTATATAACCAGGGCTGAGCAAATAATACAGATTCATCCTTATTTATAACATATCCGGTTGGGCTTACACGATTAACAACGGATTCAAAAAATACCACCAATCCAAATAATCCGGATTACGGATGATTCCGTAAATCCGAATATTGTTTGAATCCGTTAATTCGTAAAATAATGATTTTGTAATAAAAAATAAATATTACTCAACATCTGCAATTAATTCATTGATATTAAATATATTTCATATAATGCAATTAGTTTTGATAGATTTAATTAGCAATCTGTAATCCAGATTAAACAGAATCAAACAAATCTAGCTTAAGGATTACGAATTGACCAAAAATGTGCTTAGCTCTAGTATACACTGTATACCACCCCTAGTGTTTCATAGTTAAGGAATTAAAACAATATATTCTATTAATATCCTCAGAAATATGAATGTAAATAAACGTTATAACTTATATTATAACTACGAATTTTTGTTACAATACATTTTAAAAACAGATAATGTATCTTTATTAATTAGATTCTTTTTTAACAAAATATAATTTAAATGTAAAAACTAATATATTTTAAATAAATGAGTATGTGATTATTAATAGACATAAATTATTAAAGATAAGATGATGATGGATAATATATATAATATAATATATAGTCAAAAAAGTAATTAGTTTATGTGACAAAATGTAAAAAAGGAGACTTATATTTATGATGACTAAATAACAATTTTCAATCGTTTCTGAGAAAATTAGAGTCTTATATAAATTTGATCACTCTGTATTACTAATCTGTGTGAAATATTAGACGATTGATTAAATTAATTTTAAAAATAAGTTTCTTTTAAGCAGAAGCGATAGAAAGGTAATGTAATTAATGAATTTAACAAAGGCTAAATTTAGCGCACCCTTTAAAATAGCAACAATAATAAGAATTAATAAATTCTGATTAGTAGTTAAATTCTATAAAAAAATTATTTTTGGATAAACATTTAAATCAAACGTTGAACATTGTGTAGTACACAATTGAACACTTATGATCTAAATATTCTAAATATGTTCTTATTTTATTTCATCAAATATTAGTCATTTAATAATCCTTTCATTACTTACAATATATAGTAAATAATACGTAAAAACATATTTACCGCAAATAAGTGGACACCGCTGGTATTACTTAAAAATTGAACTCGCATATAAAAATCATAAAAAAAATCAACAAATTAGGTATTTTTGTTAATTTTTTATGCGTGAAAATTTAAAACTCTTGACACTTTAATATGGAATGAAAAATTAAAATATTATTTAATTACCAAGCCTTTTCAGTTTTTTAAACATAAATTAAATCTAATAAGTTTGTCTTTCTTTGATATCACTAAAAGTATTGAAGAAGATGAAATTATTGACTTTATGTCTTGTTATTAGAATATAATTCGTAACAATAAATCTATTTTTAAATATTGAAGTTCAATAAATCCTTAATTGTTTTGTAATTAAAGTCGTGTGACCCAGTGACTAAAAACATTTTTCTTATATACAATTTTTATAGAATACATAATCTAAATAAATTAAAACATACTTATGATTGCAATATGATGTAATAAAAAATAAAACCATAAAACACTTATACGTGTATGTAACTCCTAAATTATTTTAATAACCCACAAAACATGTGTATTCAAATGTATAAACTAATTATTTACTTATGTGTTTATTTTGTATAGGAAATTGACTATTCAAATATGTGTTAATCAATTGAAAAAAAGAGGTTTATCAGTAAAGTAATTAATATAATAAATGACAATTTCAGTATTTTTCCTACTCCATTTTTTATTTAGTAGCATTCGTATTGATATGACTATGGTTAGGGTAACTTCTGTTGATGATTTCGTTGAATAAGGAAATTATTGATTACAGATGATGTTTTTACTGAGTTTTGTTATTTCAAAGTTGCATAGTTGTTTGAATTCCCAATGTAATATGTAGGTAATTTCAATCAAGGAGTTGTGAGGTTGTATTGAAGATTTCTATATCAATTATGTCTTTAAAAAGTCCTTAACTATTGAGTAAATTAGATTTAAATCCCTAAGTCTTATAAAATTCAAAGGTTGTGTAGGAAATAGAGCTTAGTGCACTGGGTTGTCTACGCAAAACTGACCTTTTCAAATTGACATATTTTAGTGTTTATTTAGTTCTTCTTATTCACAACGGATACTGAACTGCTTTGCACATTATGCAATATATATTTTTAGCTACTTAAAAAAGTAATACACTTAGGATAGAACATTGAGGTAGACTATTTTTTGTTAGGCGTTCACGAGAAAGTTATTTTGGAGCTTTAATTGTATTTTTCTATTAGATATAAGAAAAAATAATAGAATAGTTGTTGAGGGAGGTGATTATTATTAAGTGCTCTTAGGGTTAGATTTTTGTAGAACAATCCAGCTATTCATTAAGAATTGAACAGTTGAATGTCAATATCCCTACCTTATCTCTTTATATTCTTGTTTATTATGTAAAGTTTTAAGGAGTAAAGCATGCAAATAAATATTCACACTTACCTTTATTTCCTTTCGCAGTTATTTGAATTGATTTTGTATTAACTTCTTAGTTCAGCGATTACAATTGTTTGTTGGATGTCGTATTTATTTCGGCAAGTAAGATTCATGTGTATATTAATCGTCAATTCACGCTTTCATTACTCCAACAATATTCGTCGTTCACAATATACGCATTTATAAAATTCTCTCCAAAGGAACCTAAGTCTCTTATCATTTATCAATTGTAAAATATTTATAATCTTTATAATGTAGAATCTTTTAAACACCAAAAATTAATTATAAATGATTATTATGAATTATATTTATGTGATCTATTACAATAAAAATGAAAATAAAAAAATTGATCTTTTCTGATAAATTTACTGTAAATAGTAATTATAAAATTTGCTGACTGCCAATTTTTCTATTTAATGATGTCAATTTCAAATTTGTAAGTTGAGCTAAAAGTTATGGTAATAAATTCATTTTTTTATTTTTATTATAAACTTTCACTTTTTAAAGAACGAAATAGAGAAGGTTAAAAATTATTACTTTTAATATATTAAAAATCAATATCAATAATAATTTGGAAACAATTCAATATAACAATTAAATAATTTATAATTATTATTATATTTTTGAATCTAAGAATTAATAATCTGGATATAACTAAGGAAATAGAATTTAATGTTGCTTTTGTAATTATCCACCAATTTCTTAGAATTAAACATTATCTGGGTTTTTAATAATATTTTTAAGAAATTTTCTATAGTAGATATCGATATTCTAAAAACTCACTCTGAACTTTTCAAAATAAAATTATAAGAACATATTTATTTATATTCAAAATTAGTCAATAAGGCTATGGTAGTCCAGCGTTTCTTAGCGTACAGCCTTGGCTGACACGGATATATTTAACCTCGTTAATATATATTAACCATTATTGCAATACACCTTTTAATATTCTAAATCAACTGACTATGAAAATCATGCTAAGGATTTTCCAACACGTAGGTTTCTATCGTTCTTATATATATCTATATGTACTATATATGTTTAGTAGTTAATTCTATACGGACTACTAGCTCTAGAACTGTCTTGTCAATGGTAAAATATTTTAAATCATCTAAAAACAATGTTTACCATTTAGGGTAATATGATAAAAAAATTGCTTTTACTGAAACAAATTTCATATAAGTGAATATTGACCAAGAAATCTTGTTTTTAGGAAGAAATAAACTTTTTATATCCTGGAAAAAGTAAAACAGCGATTTTTAGTAAAATTCCTAAAGTTCAATATTATTGGTTACTTGTAATAGAAGCCTTTACTAAGATGTTACTGAGTTATAAGGGACCGGTTTAAATTATTTATAAAAAAAAAAAATATATTCCCTATAAGGGAACATTCCAAAGACGAATGATTTAAGCTATACTTATATATATCTTCTTATCTGTATAGTATAATTATTATACTACATAGATAAGAATTTTTTAACAAAAAATTACTTGTTTCCATTTATCTTCCATTTTAATAGTTTTTTTAATCTCTTCAATCGTATGTCTTCTCGATGTCCAAGATATTAAAAGGATACGTCGATGTGTATAGAAATCAGGGTATCATACTATACATTTTCCGGAAATTATTAGGTTTTTGTAATTTTAGATCGTTTTAGAAGTTTCAAGGAGATTCCAATTAAGTTTGTTGCCTACTAATTTCTCTATCGTTTTACTTAATTTGCTAATCACAGATATTAGTCGATAGTTTAGGCTGGAGCCACACGAGCGTACAAAATGCGCACGTTATGACGGACGTACTTTTTAACGCGCGTACTAGAGTGGGCACACGAGCGTTGGTATGACGTCCGTTAAAAATAAATCTAATTGGAATTGATACTAAAATAGTACATTCACCGTATAATACTTGTGGTAAAAAGTAGTGTTATTAGAATAATTTTTACTTCTAACGATGGATACACATGATGTTTTTACTTTTGGTTCTTTAGTGTATTTATACCTTAAAACAAAACCAAAAAATAGAAAACATTGGGTTCATCCAATCAACAGCGAAAGACATACTTCAGGACATTNCAATCAACAGCGCAAGGCATACTTCAGGACATTACGTGCAACTTTACAAGGAACTACGGCAAGATCCTGTAAAATTTTTTAATTATTTCCGCATGAGCATAAGTTCATTTGACGAATTATTATCGTATATTGAATGTGACATACAACGTCAGAACACTAACATGAGGTTAGCCATAAGACCTGAAGAAATGCTTGTCATAACGTTGAGGTAATAACACTTACTTTATAGGTGGAGAATAGATTTTATTTACTAAATTTATATTATAATTTACGTATTATTAAAATATCTGTTAGTAAACTTTCAGAAATATTTTTATTACGAAGATAATAGTTATTATACATTGTAGTTATCACATTAAATTATTACAAATTTTTTTTATTTTTAAATGAAATGTATAAATTTTAAGTTTATTTTTAAAAGTTTTTTTGGTTATAATTTTCTTGCATATTGAAATTGTCGTTTGAAATTTCATCATGAGAAAATTCTGAGTAGTATGACGCAGCTGATGATGTTGAAGACGGTGGCCGAACAAAGTCATAACCAGGAGTATGAGAAAGTGGTCGAAATGAGGTGGCAGGTGTAGTGTTCAATAGTGATTGAATGTTTGAATGACTGTTGAATGATCGATTAATATGAGTTTTATTTGTAATGTTATTAAGGAGTTGCATTGTTTGCATTCTAAAACTAAATTTCTGGTCTGCAGTTAACGATTTAACTGTTGGAAGTAGTGAATAAAAGAATGCCATGTCTTCATCTCGTTCCATGGGGTTTTTTGTCACTTTATTATTATGTGACTCCATAAAGTCAACTAGAGCTTGCTCCACATTAGGCTTTTTTCGCTTCGTTGTTGATTTTTCATTTAGAGAAGAGGAAGAACTCCCGGCCATTTCATGATAACTTCCATTCTCAATATTAACTGATGAATTAAGCTCTCTTTCATTGATATTAGGCGATGTTGGTTCAGATAGAAGTTGGTCTTCGAAATTTGAATCAGTATTTCTTAACTCTCTGTTTTTTCCCAGGAAAGACAATTGTTCCCCATAAACGTACAACTTTGTTTTTTTGGCAGCTGAACCAGATCTTGAGTTATTGGCTTGTTTTTTTAAACTTCGCACATAGTTGTCACGAATTGTACGCCATCTACTCATTATGTCTAATACTGGAAAAAATTTATTTAGAATTTCAAATATTTGTTTTTATTTTAAATGAATAATTTTATAGAAATGATAAATTATTACTTTAATTAAACGATTCTCAGCAAAGCTTTAATGTACAAAAAAGTGTAAATTTTACCAGTCTATATAAAAGTTATGTTTGTAATATTTAGTTTTATAGTTTTTTAATTTTAACAGATACCTAGCTTCCGGCTGCAGTTTTCAAGAACTGCATTACAATTTTCGGATAGGTAGATCCACTGCAAGTCAAGTTGTAAGAACAGTTTGCCTAAGTATTTGGAAAAATTTAAAAGAGGTATGCATTCCTATACCAGATGAAAATATGTGGCTCAAAATTTCAGAGGAATTTAAAATCAGATCAAATTTTCCCAACTGCTTGGGCGCTGTGGACGGTAAACACATCCGTGTTGTAAAACCGGAGAGAAGTGGCTCTTTGTTTATGAACTATAAACACTTTTTTTCAATTGGGCTTATGGCTGTCGCTGATGCAAATTATAAATTCATTTATGTCGACGTCGGGTCATATGGGAAAGATTCTGATTCCACTATTTTTAGAAATTCGGTGCTTTGGAAGAATTTGGAGAGAAATAATTTAAATATTCCTACATCGTCACAAGTACCAGGAATAAATATTCCTATACCTTATGCTTTTGTTGGTGATGAAGCTTTTGGTTTAAACACGCATTTGCTTCGGCCATACTCCGGTACTCATTTGCCAAATCGAAAAAAAATTTTTAATTATCGCTTGACACGTGCTAGACGATATGTGGAGTGTACATTCGGTATACTTTCAAATAAATGGCGTATATTCCACAGGCCTATTGATGTAAAAGTAGATTTTGCTGTCGATATCGTAAAAAGTTGTTGTGTATTACACAATTTCGTTCGCGATCGGGACGGATTTAGTTTGGATGATACACTAACTATAAATGGCTTTGAAGAATTTGATGTTTTAGATAATTCAGGAATAAATCGAAATACAAATTTGATTCGTGATGCTCTATCTCATTATTTTATGAGTGACGAAGGAAAATTGCCATGGCAGTTTGAAAAAATCTAATTATTTTAATTAGTATAAAAACTTATCATATTAATTAAATATTAGTAAATAAAATCTTATAAATAATAAAAATATTTAAAACATTTTTACCTTGCATGTAATTTATAAGAAACAAAAATAAACATTTAATTTTTAATTTAATTATGCATCGTTCAAATGTTGATAGAAAATATTTGTTTACTTAAAATGTACATTATCATTACATTATATATAATAAAAAAACTCTTACAAATTATTTTTTGTTGTGCTTCGTTTTCATCTATGAATGAATTAATTAAAGACGACGCTACTTTTATCCATGCCCCATTCTTTTTAAGTTTATCTTTATAGTCTTCATCAGCTGTATTCCACAAGACTTCATATTTTTGGACCTCACTAATTAACAATTCGTTGTCGATACTTGACATTTTAAAAAAAAAATAATTTAATTACGAAATACTACGAAAATTTCAGTACAAACGTAATGTAAGGAATTTCAGGTGGTAGTAATTACTTCAATACGTCCGTACTTTGTGAGAACGTGTGTCGACGTATATTTAAATGTGTATAATTCTAAACGCGCGTTGATAATTCTTGACGTGCGTTCCAGAAAAAATACGTCGATAAGAAATTGACGTCCGTGCGAACGCGCGTTATTTTTAGCGCACGTTGCTCGTGTGACCACTCCTGTAAGCGATAATGTAATTCTACGACGCGCGTCAAAAAGTACGTGCGTACCAACGCATTTTGTACGCTCGTGTGGCACCAGCCTTAAAGTATTAAATTTGTCTTTGTTTGGTTTTAGTATAGGTGTTATAACTGCTTTGTGACAATTTTAGTCTACAATTGTTGACCATAGTTAATTAAATAGTTTCACGGTGTTGTATAAATGAAAGGAAAGACTTTTTTATAAAATCATTCTTGGAGTTTAACATTTTAACAAATTAGGTTCATTAATTTTCTGAAAGAACTTTTTAAAAATTTTTTTTATTAATAAAAAATAAAAATTATTTTTTAACTGTAATATTAAAATTAATTTTGTTTTGAAGAGTTTTTTAATGGAGAGAGAGTCGATTGAAAAGTGTGTCATAATATTCAAATTTAAACTGCATTATTTATGATTTATGTTTGATATTTATATTTTTGTATTTGTGTAATTTTCTAGGGCCCGCCATACAAAAATATCAAAAGTATCAACGATTATAGCCCTGTAGCAAAATATAATGGAATAAATAAAAAAAATATAGGAAGTAAGTAACCAGAACTTAAATGATTACATAAATTATTATTAAAAAAATAAGTAGAACAAATAAAATTTGCTAAAATGAGTGCTAAATTGACATAAATCGTGTAACACAATTTTTGTATAGCTTAATAATTTATGTTTTTTATTAAAATAATTAATAAAATACCAGCAATAAGTAATATTATTAATTTCTTTTATTATATGTTTTTACATAATAAATAAAGTTTATACTTGTTACTTTATCTGAATCATAAATTTCGTTCTGGATTCTAATAATCACAAACAATTTTTAATAAAATAAATATTTCAATTAAAATAAGAAAAATTGAAAAATGTTAATAAAATTAATTTATTTTAGATGGTATTGAAATTAAAAATTCTAACAGACAAAAAGTAAAAGATATAAATCCATTAATTGATAGTCAGAAATATCCAAACAAAAAAACTGAATATAAAAAAGAAAACAATTTATATAATGACGAATTACTTAAGCCAGATATCATTTTAGACAACACAAATAAAAATACTAAAGAAAAAAATCAAAACTACCAATTATTTTCTTCCTCAGAAAATATAAAAATAATAGATAAAAATCAAGGAAATAGAAAAAATCTTATTAACATTCAAAAATCTAATGTACAGCATAAAATTAAAGAAATAAAAGACACTCAAGAAAATAGAGAATCAAAATCAAAAAAAAAAAACTTTAATCAATTTAATACGTCTAAAACAAGCTCTAAGAGTATGCCCATTAATGAGTCTCACGATGATCATAATATTTTCGCAAAATTATTGAAAAAAAATAATAAGAAAACAAACTTAAAACAAAATTTTGAAAGTGAAAAAACTAACTGGGAACCTAAAAAAATTTCCATTGATAAAAGTCAATATTCTGACAAACCAAAGAAAATAATACATAACAACAAACAAGAAGATACAAACGAAATGAGTATGTTTGGAAATTTATTTGATGAGGATGAAGATAATACAAAAGAGAATAATCATATACCAATTAACAAACCATTAAACACAAATATATTAGAGAAACCTCCTAATAAAAGCAATAACATATTGAATAAATGGGACTCAAATAAGTTACAAAATAAAAACTCGAACACAAAAGGTCCACATAATGACTCAATTAATAAAAATCCAACTAAAAATGTAGCAATAAACAATATTGATAATCCATATAAAGAACCTACATATAACTCTAATTTTTTCAATAATCACGTAGATAACGAAGGTCCTAATAATAAATATGATCCAACTTCTCCAAAAAAAAAACAAGAATATCCGTCAAAAGATTTGGAAAAACTTAATAATACATTATTAGAAAACACAAACACAAATCATGAAATTGGAATTCATTCAAACAACCAGTTAAATCCATCAAGTCATTATGAACAACCTGAAAACCAGAACAAACACTTGCAAAATAACCCAATAAGTAATACAAAAAAAAATGAAGAAATTATAACACCATTACAAACTAGTGATCAACATAGAAATGATGACGAAGCATCGCCAAATAAAAATTCTGATTTTTTTGGAAATTTGTTTAACAATCGATTTAATAAAAGACCAAATACAAATAATGAAAACGGAAATCCTACCGAAAACCAATTGGTACCATCAACAGATAATGAACACGCAACAAAAAACAATTCTCCCTTATTTGATAATACCAATAATGATTCAAATAAAAAGAATCCTATTAAAAATGATCAATTTGGAACACCATCACAAACTAGTGATCATCATAGAAATGATGACGAAGCATCGCCAAAAAGAAATTCAGATTTTTTTGGAAATTTGTTTAACAATCGATTTAATAAAAGACCAAATACAAATAATGAAAACGAAAATCCTACCGAAAACCAATTGGTACCATCAACAGATAATGAACACGCAACAAAAAACAATTCTCCCTTATTTGATAATGCCAATAGTGATTCAAATAAAAAGAATCCTATTAAAAATGATCAATTTGGAACACCATCACAAACTAGTGATCATCATAGAAATGATGACGAAGCATCGCCAAAAAGAAATTCAGATTTTTTTGGAAATTTGTTTAACAATCGATTTAATAAAAGACCAAATACAAATAATGAAAACGAAAATCCTACCGAAAACCACTTGGTACCATCAACGGATAATAAAATATTACCAAATAAATACCAACCCCTTGGGGATAATCCATTTAGCAATTCCAATAATAAAAAACCAAAAATAAATGATGAAATAGATAATTATTCAAAAAATCATGGTAATCTATCATCTGATACTGCAAAATCACCAAAAACAAATAATAACTCATTTGATAATGCCAATAGTGATTCAAATAAAAAGAATCCTATTAAAAATGATGAATTTGGAACACCATCACAAACTAGTGATCATCATAGAAATGACGACGAAGCATCGCCAAATAAAAATTCAGATTTTTTTGGAAATTTGTTTAACAATCGATTTAATAAAAGACCAAATACAAATAATGAAAACGAAAATCCTACCGAAAACCAATTAGTACCATCAACAGATAATGAACACGCAACAAAAAACAATTCTCCCTTATTTGATAATGCCTATAGTGATTCAAATAAAAAGAATTCTATTAAAAATGATCAATTTGGAACACCATCACAAACTAGTGATCATCATAGAAATGATGACGAAGCATCGCCAAAAAGAAATTCAGATTTTTTTGGAAATTTGTTTAACAATCGATTTAATAAAAGACCAAATACAAATAATGAAAACGAAAATCCTACCGAAAACCAATTGGTACCATCAACAGATAATGAACACGCAACAAAAAACAATTCTCCTTTATTTGATAATGCCAATAGTGATTCAAATAAAAAGAATCCTATTAAAAATGATGAATTTGGAACACCATCACAAACTAATGATCATCATAGAAATGACGAGGAAGCATCGCCAAAAAGAAATTCAGATTTTTTTGGAAATTTGTTTAACAATCGATTTAATAAAAGACCAAATACAAATAATGAAAACGAAAATCCTACCGAAAACCAATTGGTACCATCAACAGATAATGAACACGCAACAAAAAACAATTCTCCCTTATTTGATAATGCCAATAGTGATTCAAATAAAAAGAATCCTATTAAAAATGATCAATTTGGAACACCATCACAAACTAGTGATCATCATAGAAATGACGACGAAGCATCGCCAAAAAGAAATTCAGATTTTTTTGGAAATTTGTTTAACAATCGATTTAATAAAAGACCAAATACAAATAATGAAAACGAAAATCCTACCGAAAACCAATTGGTACCATCAACGGATAATAAAATATTACCAAATAAATACCAACCCCTTGGGGATAATCCATTTAGCAATTCCAATAATAAAAAACCAAAAATAAATGATGAAATAGATAATTATTCAAAAAATCATGGTAATCCATCATCTGATACTGTACAATCGCCAAAAACAAATAATCACTCATTTGATAATGCCAATAGTGATTCAAATAAAAAGAATCCTATTAAAAATGATGAATTTGGAACACCATCACAAACTAGTGATCATCATAGAAATGACGACGAAGCATCGCCAAATAAAAATTCAGATTTTTTTGGAAATTTGTTTAACAATCGATTTAATAAAAGACCAAATACAAATAATGAAAACGAAAATCCTACCGAAAACCAATTGGTACCATCAACAGATAATGAACACGCAACAAAAAACAATTCTCCCTTATTTGATAATGCCAATAGTGATTCAAATAAAAAGAATCCTATTAAAAATGATGAATTTGGAACACCATCACAAACTAGTGATCATCATAGAAATGACGACGAAGCATCGCCAAATAAAAATTCAGATTTTTTTGGAAATTTGTTTAACAATCGATTTAATAAAAGACCAAATACAAATAATGAAAACGAAAATCCTACCGAAAACCAATTGGTACCATCAACAGATAATGAACACGCAACAAAAAACAATTCTCCCTTATTTGATAATGCCAATAGTGATTCAAATAAAAAGAATCCTATTAAAAATGATGAATTTGGAACACCATCACAAACTAGTGATCATCATAGAAATGACGACGAAGCATCGCCAAAAAGAAATTCAGATTTTTTTGGAAATTTGTTTAACAATCGATTTAATAAAAGACCAAATACAAATAATGAAAACGAAAATCCTACCGAAAACCAATTGGTACCATCAACAGATAATGAACACGCAACAAAAAACAATTCTCCCTTATTTGATAATGCCAATAGTGATTCAAATAAAAAGAATTCTAATAAAAATGATAAAATTGGAACACCATCACAAACTAGTGATCAACATAGAAATGATGACGAAGCATCGCCAAATAAAAATTCTGATTTTTTTGGAAATTTGTTTAACAATCGATTTAATAAAAGACCAAATACAAATAATGAAAACGGAAATCCTACCGAAAACCACTTGGTACCATCAACAGATATTGAACACGCAACAAAAAACAATTCTCCCTTATTTGATAATACCAATAGTGATTCAAATAAAAAGAATTCTAATAAAAATGATAAAATTGGAACACCATCACAAACTAGTGATCAACATAGAAATGATGACGAAGCATCGCCAAATAAAAATTCTGATTTTTTTGGAAATTTGTTTAACAATCGATTTAATAAAAGACCAAATACAAATAATGAAAACGGAAATCCTACCGAAAACCACTTGGTACCATCAACAGATAATGAACACGCAACAAAAAACAATTCTCCCTTATTTGATAATGCCAATAGTGATTCAAATAAAAAGAATTCTAATAAAAATGATAAAATTGGAACACCATCACAAACTAGTGATCAACATAGAAATGATGACGAAGCATCGCCAAATAAAAATTCTGATTTTTTTGGAAATTTGTTTAACAATCGATTTAATAAAAGACCAAATACAAATAATGAAAACGGAAATCCTACCGAAAACCACTTGGTACCATCAACAGATAATGAACACGCAATAAAAAACAATTCTCCCATATTTGATAATGCCAATAGTGATTCAAATAAAAAGAATTCTAATAAAAATGATGAATTTGGAACACCATCACAAACTAGTGATCAACATAGAAATGATGACGAAGCATCGCCAAATAAAAATTCTGATTTTTTTGGAAATTTGTTTAACAATCGATTTAATAAAAGACCAAATACAAATAATGAAAACGGAAATCCTACCGAAAACCACTTGGTACCATCAACAGATAATGAACACGCAATAAAAAACAATTCTCCCATATTTGATAATGCCTATAGTGATTCAAATAAAAAGAATTCTAATAAAAATGATGAATTTGGAACACCATCACAAACTAGTCATTATGAACATCCTGAAAACCAGAACAAACACTTGCAAAATAACCCAATAAGTAATACAAAAAAAAACGAAGAAATTATAACACCATTACAAACTAGTGATCAACATAGAAATGATGACGAAGCATCGCCAAATAAAAATTCTGATTTTTTTGGAAATTTGTTTAACAATCGATTTAATAAAAGACCAAATACAAATAATGAAAACGGAAATCCTACTGAAAACCACTTAGTACCATTAACGGATAATAAAATATTACCAAATAAATACCAACCCCTTGGGGATAATCCATTTAGCAATTCCAATAATAAAAAACCAAAAATAAATGCTGAAACTGATACTCCTTCAGATAGTCTGTTTAAGCCTTTAACGAATACTGATCAAACTCCATTTAAAAACAATAACTTGAATGATAACTCTCATGGTAACTCATTTTATAAGAAGCCAACCTCAAAATCTACAAGTATGCATTTTAATAATATTAACTTCAATGATATTAATAATTCTGTAAATCCTGTTTTATCTAAACTACCCGATAATTTAAGTAATTCGAATAATGTTAGTTGTATTAATTTACCGAAATCGGACAATGACGCTGTTCATATTACGAATTTGATAAAACCTCTTATTGATGTTAATCAAATGGAAATTAGTCCTAAAATGGACTCTTTGTCAGATAAGTTCAATGAGTTCAATACTACTACCTCTGTTAATAAAAAACCTACCACACATGAATATGGTAATTCTATTTATAGAAATGATGATAAAACAATGTCAATAATTCCAAATGATTATGATAAAGAAGTATCGTTGCCCAAAAATAATAGTCAAATATCTATTGAAAAACCCTATAATATCATTCTCAACAACGTAAATACTCTAAATAATCCTCTGAAAATTTTATCTTATAATGACTTGAACAATCTGAAACCATTAGATAAAAATGGAACTTTTGATGAAAATTTAAATTTGAATCAAATTCCAAACAGCCCAATGTCACATTTTGTTAATCCATCAGATCTAGCCAAAAATTTAATCAAGTTGCCTGTCAATTCTTTAAAAAAACCTACAATTCAATATGGTGATATAAACTTACCAAATGAAAGTAATTTTAAAAATGAAAAACCATTTAAAAATTATAAAAACATGGATGTATATCCTGTATCGAACATCAATCAAATATCCAATAGTAATTCTAATAATATGGAAAATCCAAATTTAGTACAATCAACAGATAAACCTTACAACGTTGTTTTGAATAATGTCAATAATATATCAAATCCTGATAAAACATCATCTAACATTAATACAATTAATACTTCTTTTCAATTTGATAACGGTGGTAAAACTGAAAAAATTTCCAAAGAAAATCAAATTTCTAATGAAAAACTAAATAAAAAAAGTAAACACAAAATTGAAACAGCAAAAAACACTTTTAAAAAACAAAGTAATTCAGGAAAACCTTATAATAATTTCGATAAGGTGTCTTCCGGATTTGGTTATTCAACTCTCCCTTATTTATTTAATTCAGAAAATGAAGGGACTCTAAAAACAAATAAATATGACCAACCTCTTGTTCAATTTAATTCTTTCAACAGTGGAACAATAGATTCACCTAATAAATTCATAAAAGAAGGTAATTTAGAATCAAATACTGACAATTTTGATTCAATTGATGACAATAATAAGAATAATAATTTGATTAAACCTAAAGTGCATAAACCTATAACAAAAAAGAATAATCTCAGTAAAAATGATGGAGATCATTCATCATGTAGCAATGAAGAATCAAAAACAATTATTTCAATGAAAAAACCAAAAAATAAAAATAAAATGGACAGTTTAAAAAGTAATAACTCATTTAGTGTTTCAGAAGAAAGTAGTAATGGAAAAAAACAAACGAAAATGGAAAAGGAGAATAGATTGAACAATAAATTAACAAATACAAATACAGCATCAAATAATGGAAATACAAATATAAATATTAACACAAATGATAAATTAAAATCTAATTTAGCTAGCGAAGAATTATTGAAAAATAAGTATAAGAGTAAGAAAACTAAAAAAACAAATAGTTCAGATGAAGATGACGATTTGAATAATCTAAAAGTTAAAACTAAACTTAAAACTCCAAATTCGATCAAATACACAGATAATAACCATAAAACAACTTTACATAATGAATCACCAATTATAAATATTAATCATGAACAGGGTTCTCCTGGTATAATTGATTCTAATCCAATGATGAATCTATCAATTCTCGATAAATATGATTTGTACCCAAAAGACTTTTGGAAAGTTATACTTCAAAATCCAAATTTGTTTCATCCACCAACTTACATTAACCCTAACGAATACAACTATAATACTATGAAACCTACAAATGATATGAATAAAATAAATCAAGATACTATTAAAAATCCTAATGAGTTTATGCAAAATACAAATAGTCTTAATGCAAAAACTATTTATAGTAATCCTGGAAATATTGCAAACGAAGAATTACGACCAAATCAGCCAATAAATGATGAAAAAAAAATCCCTACATTTAAATCTAGTGATAAAGATACCAATAATAACTACTTTAACATAAACACGTTTTTAGATAAACCATCTCATACGGAATATAAAAAAGATGAAGTATATACACCGAATAATGTACCAGAAAAAAATAGCCTTCACAATTTAATAACAAATGATGAAAACAATAAACTTATTAAAAATCCTAATCCAGAAGTTAACTTCGATCATATGTTTAAGGAACTAGCTAATAAAATGATGAATCAAATAGACTCTTCGATAAATGCTAAGTTATTTCAACAAGATAATCTCAGAAAAAATTATATCAATGATGGTAGATATAATAGTAGAAAGACTAATGCAGCGTATTCTATTGATGTGAATTCTGGTGAATCGAGCCATGAATATAGTTATGAAAATAGAAAATTACCACCTGATACAAAAAAAAAGAAAAACCCGACAATTTTTAATGATATACAACCATTTAAAAAGAGTAAAAAAACAAACAAATTAAACACTGAATCATATAAAAGTAACTCTGAAGTTTCTGAAGAAGTTAATAATAATATTAGACGTAAAACAACTAAAAAGAAAAACCATACAACTAAAATAAAACCTGTTAAAAATATAGTCCGTGATAATGATAATTCTGACAACGAAAGTGAATCTTTTGAAGAAAATAATCAAATAAATATACTAAAACATAAAAAAAAAAAGCCTAAAAATGAAACCTTTTCAAAAATTACAACTAATACTAAAAAGAATTTAAATGAAAAAATTTCTCCTTCAAAAATATCTAATACTACGATTAAACTTAAAAAATCGAAAAGTAATGTAACAAAAAAAAAAGTTACTGATGTTAATAAAAAAAAGAAAATTAACAATAATGTCAAATCACCGAAAAATAAACACAATGATAAAAAAAAAAATGTAAATAAGGTTAAAAAAATTACTAAGATTACTAAAATAAGACCTTTGAATAATCAAGAGAAAATAATCAAAAAAAAAAATAATAAAAATAATACAACCAAATTAAAAAATAAAAAAATTGTAACTGTCGATGGAAATACATACCGCCCCAAAAATAAAGTAGTGAATCGTTATATTACAACTGATTCTTCAAGACTGGGTAATCCCAGCACAACAAATATTGATAATAGCCAACAGCGTTATAGATGGAAATATGCAAACGAACCGGTGAGACTTTTTTATAAAATAATTCTGCTTAAAAATTTTAAATGCATAATATTTTTTTATACAAAACGAAACATTCAGTGCAATAAATGTATTGATTTAATTAATAAATTTATAATTAACATAAATATAATTAAAATTAATTTTTATCGATTTTTTTTACTATATTTATGTATATAATTTATATCTGATTACATTTCTGGAGTAAAAAATTAAAATTATCTAATACAAAAAAAAATGTTGGTTTAAAAAAACAACTCAAGAAAAAAGAAAAATTTCAGTAGCAAATTTCTTTCAAGTTCTTTTGTTTTTGACTTTTGGTGATATTAAATAGAAACTCGATATCACATTTCTATTTCTGTGCCTATAGCTATACACATTTCTTTTGGAGAGTTAATTAAATAATTAAAAACTAAACATATCAATGGTAATCTAAAAACTTTTTAAAATTAATTTTGAATATTTAACCAGTTTAAGGCAACAATGAATTTATTTTAATCTATTGAATTGTAATTTAATTAATGTATGATGTAATTTAATCTTTTTTTATAATATATATGGATATGATTTTTGTTTTTTTAGAATGAAGGACGTGGATATAGGATTGGCTATCGTTTATCACCAAATTTTTCATACCTTATGGGGAGTAATCCAAGATATTACACATCACTAATTTAATGTAAGTTAATGATGAATTTTGTATTTTGTTATAGTTTATTTCCCTTAATAATAATTATTTTTAATAGCCTCTGAACCCCATTGAGGATTTAATATTCACTCCATAAAAGTTTTCCAATAATATATTAAATTGAATTCGGTTGTAATTCTAGTATATATAACTAGCTTTACAATGCACAATCTATTTTTTTATTTGGATAAAGATGACATTTTCATCAGTTAAACAATAAATTGATAATATCTGTATATTTCTTATTATACTTTCTTAAAAAACTGTTAAAGACTAATTTAATAAGTATAAATATACAAAAAAAAATTCTTCAGTAAAATCAACAAATTTTTAATGTATATACGTTCTATATTTTTGTTAAATATTAGGTTTTTTTTTAATTTAAAATAACATTTGTTAATTTGATCAATGATTTATTATTCTAACAAAAAGACAGGGCTTATTTTAACGGGTAGTAGAACCTGAATTGGTAGTTGAAAACATAATTTGGGTAGTTCAAAATTCAAAATTGGGTAATAGATTTTTTTCACCTGTAGGAAACTAGGTAAATTCTAATAATAAAATATTGAAGCCATAAATTTATATAAATAAAAATTGAAAGTTATCAAATTAAAAACGTTTTTTAACCTAAAAGTTTAAGCACATATTTTAATTTTTAACAAATCGTAATGTATTTTTATTATATATTAGAAAAAAGACTGGCAACGGTATGATCGCATTGCGAACGTATAAGTTTTCTATAGACCTATACGTCGTAAGACGACTTCGTGTGCCCGATGCGCATTGTGGCATTGTGTAGTAGTCGATATAGTATAGTAATGTACGATATCGGTAATGTCGTCGTGCCGTCGTTAAAACCCATTTAAAAATAAATAAAACGCACAGTATCGCAAGACACGGTTGTATAGAAACCAAACACTAATTTTATCTGTTTATTTTATCTATTTCGTTATCGACCTTTCTTTATATTGTAGTTAAAGTAATACTGCACTATAGAATGCGCATGTTGACTACTGCGTGATTTTGCTTAGGACATATAGGTCTATGGGCTAGCACTACAGTAAATAAATTCACGTGAATTTTTGTATTATATACTTATTTTAATAAAAAGTGAAAAATAATACAAGAAAAGACAGTACTTATCTTATAGTGAAAAGTGAAAAAGTGTAAAAATGAAACGGGCTTTATCTCTTCAAAAATATGTAAAAAAATCTTGCAAAACAACTTCTTTGTATAGTTGGCTGAATCTAAATAAACCAAGTTGTTCGACCCAGTTAAATTTAGCCACACAAAACTCAGCATCTCTTGAGGAATCTCAATTATCGAAACCAGTTAAAGAAAAAGAAATAATCGAGAAAATTTCAGAAAATGAAAACCCAAGTGAAACCCTCACACAAGAAATTCCAATTTCTAAACCTGAAGCAAATAAACAAAACTCCGATGCTCAGGCATTTGAACATTATCACCGAGATGGTAAGCACTACGTAAAATGTAAATGCTGCAACATGTTTCCAAACGTAGTAAAGCTTCATGGAACAATGACTCGATTGCCTGCGATAGTAACAGATGGTACTAGATGGAAACGATACGATAGAAAAACATATTTCTCAGAAATATCATTCAGAGTTTGTGAAAGCTTTTAGATTATCTACTTTAAAAGTACCAGAAAAAGCAAAAGAATGCACTATGGATAAGATGCTCCCACAAATGAACGAGGACCTAGCAAATAAAATTGGTGGATTAATGATACATACATATGCTGACGCAAAAAAAAATTCAATATTTGACCCCAACCGCACATAAAGAATTTATTCAGTGTATTATTAAAAGTGATCATAGTGTGCAAGAAATACTGAGCTCTAACATTTTATCGCTTTCTTTGAGATGTGATGGCAGTGTGGACCGTATGCAAATAGACAAGATATATGTTTTTACAAAAGTCATAAAAAAATCTGGTGAATCAGTTCAATATTTCCTTGGGTTAAGTGAACCATCTTGTCAAGGTGCTGAGAGAATACTTGGTGCAATAGAGAACGCCATCGATACTACTGTAGAAGAAGGAATGTCTAGACAACTTTTTGAATTTGCCACCTCTTTGGTAACAGATGGAGCAGCAGTGAACACTGGTTGTAGAGCAGGGTTGTGGGAGCTCTTTAGGCAAAAGTACAAGATTAACTCAAATCTTCCTTTCATTAACATATGGTGTGCAGCACACAGATCGGATTTGGCTTTCAAATCGAGTAGTAATTGTGTTGGAGAGTTTAAATATATTTTTTCAGAGTTAATTGGTTTAAGCTCATTTCTACACTCTTCCAGCTTAAGAACCAAGCATCTCCAACAGGCGGCCGGTTGGGTTTATTTAAAGTGCGGTGGTCCGAATTTTCGTTTGATTTAATCAATTCAGTTTTGGTTTCTTGGAATGCTTTAGTATTGTTCTTAAAAGATTATCCTGACAAAGAGGCAAGAGGATACAGACTTTTTTAATCAATTATAACAATCTACAAATCCTGGCATTTATTGCAGACGTATTGATGGTTTTCAGCAGATATCAGAAAAAAACTGCAGTCTGATACAATTACAATTTTAGACATGGACAAAGAGACAGTAAACGTTATATCCAGGCTTAAAATATTCAAAACGGAAGCGTTGCTTGGTGGATGGGTGACAACCTTAAAAGAACAGTTAGAAATTCATAGTGAAAATGAGGTTTTACTAAAAGGAGAAGTCTTAACAAGAAATCGAAAACATCGTTTAAAGGAACATCACAAGTTTGTTTCTCAGAATCGAGACTACTCCGCAATCTGCAATGAAATTGTGGATTTTCTTGTAAATTTTTTGCAGGAAAGATTCGATATTGATGCGGATACTGTTAAAATTTTGAAACCATTCACTGAGCTAGAGCCATCCGTTGATATGAAAGCAGTTCATAAATTGATAGGAAACGACTTAGATCTTGCTGAACTTTCAATGGAATATTCGGAGCTTCTCACTCATAAAAATATTGAGCAGTTAAAAAAAATCAGCTTAAAAGAAACTCTTCAGGCTTTAGTGATGACAAATTTTTTTCCCAATGTTTCTGTTATAATGGCCAGAATTGTTGCAGTAAAACCTCATTCCGCTGATGTTGAAAGAGTGATTAGTGTGAACAATTTGTTGAAAACCAGCAATAGAAGCAGTCTAAGTATTGAAAGCGAGAATGAATATCTATATATTTATTTTAATCTTCCTCCATTAGCCGAATGGAATCCTCGTCCAGCAATTAATGAGTGGTTTAAGAAAAAAAGGAGAGTTAGAGAAACTGTTACGGCGTAAGAACAAGAGTGGTATAAGGGAATATTTATAAGTGCAAATGATAACCAAAAAGATTCGCAAACCGAAGAAAAAGTTCCTACGATAATGTTTTAAGTTTTGTTTGTACTGATTTCAATTTTGAGATAACTTATTTTTTTATTACATATTTTTCTGTTTCCTTTTTTTAAAATTTTAGGATTTATTGTAATAATAAAACACTAGTCATCATCAAATGTAGCACTTTTTTTTACCCCCACTAACCTACTAAAGTCTTTATGAAATTTTATGCTTTAAAAAACGTTTTTACTAACATAAAAAGCAAAAAAAAATGTTGCCTGTGTCCCCACCGAACCCCCCGCATAGCTCTGTTATCCGAAAAGTACTTCGTTATGTTTGATGTTTATGTTTATGTTGATGCACAACATAAAAAAAGGACAGTGGGTAGTAGAAAAAAAACATTACAATAAGGCCTGCAAAAAGAAATGATTAAATTAACAAAAAGTATATTGAAAGTATTTTGATAAATTTGTTGACTTTAGCGGAAGATTTTTTTTAATATTTTCAAACTCGATTTACCTTGATCTATTCCCTGTGGATAGAGGATAAGAATACTTCCATGGCCCCTCTATTAGTCGTAAGAGGCGACTAATGAGGTTGCGTCAGATCGACAACCGGCGTAAAATTTTGTCAAAAAGTATGAGGAGTCCTGAAGAAAACTTAGTCGGATTTTTCCATCTTAGATGTACGCAGGAACAACAGGTGAGAGAAATGTAATATGAGGATGGTGATATAAGCGTAGATGATGTAAAAGATCGTATCGAGTGGGAGTTTAGGATAAGGTTAGGCCGACCCCAAATAGTTGGGAATAGGACGAGAAAAAAGATGAATCTCGATTTACCTAGATGAAACCAAAAAGTACATATATGTATATATATACAGGGCAATCTATTTATTTTAAACCACTCAATTTTTTGCCAACTTAACTCAGTGTTGAAAAAAAAATCGGTTTGATTATTTAGATTTATTATATAGAAATTTTTCTAATTTTAAGTTTTGTTTTATCATTACAATAATAAGAGTTCATAAATGTAATTTTTTTCTCATGAAAAATGACACAATCGCCATTTTTCCTCTTTATATAGTTTTACCCCGGTCTCTCCCCAGCCTATATTAAAATTGTCATAACTCCTAAAGTACTGTTTCAAAAGTTGTTATCAACTGTTGTGTTGTTAGGTGATATTTTAATAATTATAATAATTAATTACACCGTATTTAACTTTATATTAATATATATTTAACTTTTTATATATAAGAACTTAAACAACAGTATTACAACACACTAGACAAAATTCTATATATCAAACATTAATTCTTATATGTATCTTGTGATAGATNATTAATTCTTATATGTATCTTGTGATTGGTAGTGGCCGGCGGCCTGGACCGGTTCTAGCCGTCCGTCGGCCACTCCGTATGGCGCGACCTGCCGGACGTAAAGGGAAAGCGCCGCGATCGCCATCCAGTGGTAAAGCTGGAGTCGCGATGCGACCGCGACATACTCCCCCCCCAGTCCGGCCGGTCGGCCCATGAGCGCCTAGGACAGCTGGTCTGTTTGCCCGTCCTCCAACTCCGGGAAGTCGGGAACCTCGATGATCGGGGCGTCCAAAACCGCATCTTTGGTCTCCATTCTCTCCGAGAACCGGAACTCTACATCTATGTGCTGCGGTTCCACCTGGTCGTCCCCAAGGAAAACAACTGGTTGAACGCTGCCGATAAAGCGTTCCACACCTTCGCCGGAATGGGACTCACTCCCGACGCCACTTGGTGTCGCGGTGGTCACCTGGGTGGTTGACGCTTCCGCGGTGTTTTTCGGTCGAAACCGGCCATGTTCGTCCCGTTGGCTGTGGCGATGGTTTGGCCGATCTGTTTCCAGCCTGCCCTGTGCCGGCTGATTAAGTCGAGCGGAGGTTTGGCCGGGTCGATGTCGCCGCTGGTTCGACCGCCGGCTAGGTTCGCCCTGCTCCGCGCGACGTTCCGTTAAACCCCGATCGAACGCAGCCCATAAGAGGGATTGGGACCGAAGTTCCCCAATCCCCGCCGTACGGACTCGTTCTCGGGTCCAGGTTGGGAGTTCCTCATATTCTTCCCCCAGCAGTGCCGCCGCTTGCCGCATCAACCTGCGAGCCTGTTGCCGCATGAGGTTTGCGGTTTCGGCCGCAAGCCGGCGAGATGGCCGAAAGGAACGGAGCTCCGCGTTCTGTCTTTGGTTGCTGGACATGCTGTAAAATAGAAAATTTATTAGGATTACCTCCTGAGGCGTCATATTTTATGGCGGTGACATGTAGCTTTAACTGACGCCTTCCTTTAGTCACAAACACTCCCTCACCTAGCCTTTTGGCTAGTTGCACTGGCCCCAGCCATTTAGGGGCAAAGCCGGCGTGAAACTTTTTATCAGCGCTGGATAAGGGATGCGCGCGATAATACACCCAATCCCCTTCTTTAAAGCGTCTGCGGTGATTTTCGCGGGGTAATTTGTGACCAGTATCTTTTTTATCGGAAGATAACCCGAATTTTTGTGAGGGTTGTTCTCCCCCCCCGGAAATTTTCGTTTTCCTACCGAAGACACCGGAGTT